ACGGGGCTGGCCGCCCTCCCCTTTACTTCGTAAAGTAAAACTCAAGGTAGCCCCTCTGGAGCTACCTTTCGTGATAAAAATATCAATCCTATTTTGAAATTTCCCGTATTTCCAAAATTATTTCAAAATAATCGAATTATTTCAAAACCATTTTAAAAAAAATAAAAATAAATAAAAATATATATTTTCGTAAAAATTAAAATACATATAAATAAAAATTCAAAATATTAAAATATATTAAAATATTAATAATAATTTCAATTATCCCATTTATATAATTTTAGTTTTATTTAAAATCTTAATAATAATAATATATTTTAATTTAAATTATATATATTTTTATATAATTATAATTTATTATATTTATATATAAAATTAATATATTATTTTTAATATTGTAATTTTAAAAAAAAAATAATAATAATAAATAAAAATCAATAATAATATATATATATTAATATAATTAGAAAAATATTCTCCCCAATATATAGGCCAATGGAATTATAAAAAAAATCCTGAAGGAAATAATAATTATAATAATTAATTCAAAAAAAATCCATTTATACCAAAAAATAATACCAATCACAACCGCCAAAGGGGAAGAAACACTCCGGAGCAGGCGACAGCCTCAAAGCGCCAAAAAAATCAACACAACCAATAACAGCGACCAGCATCAAAAGAAATACAATAGAAGGGATAGAACAGCTAAAGCAAAAAACAAAATAGACATCCCATGGCGGGCAGAAGCACCAAAAGATAAATTATGTTATATAAATTTATATAATATATTTTCAAAATGAATATATGTTAAAAGTATGCACACGGCTTCGGCGTAATCTTTGAGCAGGCCTTGGTTGGGTAGAAGGAATAAGCTTGAATTTTCGCACTCTCAGAGGGACAATCAACCAGGTCAATTGGCGAAGCATCACATTGCTCCTAACATCCCCTATCCAGACTTCTAGTTAGTTTTCAAGAACTCCTTGTTGTACAAGTTCAATCAGTGCTGAGCTCACGGCGTGTTTTCTTCGAACTCTTTGTTCCGAACAAAACTTCTGCCACTTAAATCAATACTTGTAGTAGTAGGAATCCTGAGCATGGTCGCAAAGCTGTGATATCATACCTGCCATACAGCACAAGACTGCGCAGTATGGCAGCATGGCTGAAGATTGCAAAAGAAAACGCAACAATAATCAACAATCATTCTCAAGATCAAACCCTTTTATTTCTCGAAAAATAGGTAGTGTTAAAATTAATGACAGAAATCAAGCAAGCCGATCTGGCCATTCTTGAAGATTTTTTGGTGGGAAACATCCAATGAAAAAATAAAGAAACACCTTGGCAACGTCCAAGCTGCTTTGGATTTTTGCCAGCGTGAGCGAACTTCTCTGCCAGTCCAGCTATCTGCCCACTGTTCTGAATCTTGCGTCCAGCCTTCATTCCATGCTTTCTTATTATTGCCCCCTTTTCTTGGCCCTTCATCATCATATTTCTCATGGTAGACAAACTCTTTCTTCCGGCTATCCCAGCTTCTGACCAACCGCTTCCTGCCCCTTTCTCCAGGACCTTGAGTGCCATGACGGCCGTGCTGATTGGTTGGCCTTGGCGGTAAGGATCTTTTCTCATTCTCCTCACGCACCGGAATGTCGCTTGCGTCCTGCCAGCTTCCAGGCTCCTCGTGATCTTCCACCCCATCATCCTTGTTCTCGCTTGAAAGCCTCAGTGCAACGCTGGCACGGATCGGTATCGAAAGAATTGGACAAGACGAGGAGGCACAAGACCAAGTGACATAGCCTTTCGTCACGCTGCCCACAAGTGGATAAGGAGCACTCCAACAAACAATCATCGCACAAAAACGCGCACAACGTTCTGTATCCATCTTTAGGTCATGTTAGGTCATTGTCATTGCAGCCTGACTACAGAAACCTCAAATGGAATGCCGCTTCAGAGACAGGAACTGACAAAAATGGAAGGTGTATGGTGTATTTTATATTCATGTATACATATATATATATGTTTGTTTGTTTCTTTATTTATTTATTCTACTCTCAAAGCACGAAAGCTTGCGACATAGACAGCTGCCCTTTGAGAAAAGATACCTAAACTTTGTGAGCTGTCCTTACTGCTAGGAAAGCACTCCAGTAAGTGGCCACATGTCTTGCTTTGTGCTCTTCAAACATGTTTGGACAAAACATTTGCTTTGAAGCTAATATTTTGCATGAAAGAGTGGTAGCACCCAACTTTGAGGACGACAAGAAAAGGAAGCAATCGTGCAGAAAACGCAGGGATGCTATCACACTGGACCTGCATTGTTCAAACAAATAGAGATGCCAATTTCGCTTCCACTGGAAACCAGCCTGGAACCTAACCTGGACATTATATCTTCTGCATGTACCCGCGTGTGGGACAACCTTTGCTTCGGCAAATGTGATAATTCTGGCGCTTGTACAGGCCAGGTCCCAGACACAGCACCTCTACTTGGCAAATCTGCCTGATCTCTTTGCCGTCAGCATCTCGTGACGCTTTCGGACATGTTGTTGGCAAGTTCTAACACTTTCCCAGGTCCCTGTCCACAGCTTCATAATACCGTTGCCCCTGCCCTTCCATCTCTTCCCAATCGAATAAACCTTAACAAATGCCATTCCAATGCAACGTAGTTCTGTTGAGGTCTCTGATAGCTAGTGGCCAACTGTGGCCAACCGTGGATCCACCGAGTCGCTTCACGACATTCACCTTGACCACACGACGGTTCGACGGTGATGCCACTGGCGATGCCACTGGTGATGCCGGGGGACCTGAGTGCCACGACTGCTGCTCAGGACCCAAGATCATAACGGAAACATAGGGGAACATGCGGCACTTCATTGTGAAATAAAATCAATTTGTTCACCAGGGGTCTGTGTATATATGCGTCTGCCATCCATCCATGTACTTACTACCAGTATACAAATATCATCAAATATCCACATTAACATCAATCTCACTCTACCTGGATCTTCGTGTCCATGTTCTGCCTCCATGATCTTCTACCCAAGGTGGCCCGGGAGGCTCTGGTGGCTTGAGAGGAACCTGCAGTCCAGAAAAAAAAAAACCTAAGAACCTCCAGAACTCTGTGGCTTGCATTTGATACACTTGGATCATCATCATCACCACCACCACCATCATCATCATCATCATCACGTCTTTGGATGTGGAATTAATGATTCCTGCTGCTGCGAAGGCCTTGTCCTGCTCACTGAACGTGCTTGCTGACTGGTTCTTTGCCTACAAGGTGGAAAGCTCAAGGGTCCCAACTTTCCATCTTACCCTCCTTTCCGGGAGAAGTTCGGTATCATGAACCCCAAACAATGGACAATAACCACCAAACAATGAGCAATAATACTTGAGGCCCAGGGGTAAGGGACGAAAGCGAGCTTGGCAGGGAGCTTGGCATGAAAACTCTAAGGTTACAGCGCAGCCGTGCAGCTTTTTCGTCAACGTGGACGAGCGGGTCTGAAGCTGGGGCATGCTGGTAAAGTGAACATCCAAACCTACGTATTGAGGCGATGTATGTTGGAGAGGACGAGGATGAGAACATATGATTATGATGTACTGTTGCACGAAAAGGATAAGGAAAAACAACATAGCCGGCATGATAACTAGTGATTGGGGAAGATGGAAAGGTCCACCTTTGGCATCGGAGTGGGCCTTTGGCAGCGCGGGAAGAAGCAACGCAGTGCAAAGCCGAAGTTGCGGACGAGAGGTAGGTGTGCGTGCGCAACATGAAAATGAAGCTAGGCCAAGGTTCCATAAAGGGTCAAGTGTGAAAAGTGCAAAGTTGTGAGGGTGTAAAGTGAAATGTAAGGTGTAAAGTGTGAAAGTTTAAAGTGTAGAGTGTGGAGTGTAAAGTGTAGAGTGTGGAGCGTATACAGTGTGAAGTGTAAAATGTAGAGTGTAGTGTGTAGAGTGTCAAGTAAAGTTCAGAGTGTGGAGAGTGAAGTGTAGTGTGTGGAGTGTCAAGTGTCAAGTGTGAAGCATAAAGTGTAGAGTGAGGAGTGTAAAGCGTATATAGAGTGCGCAGTGTCAAGTGTAGAGTATAGTGCGTAGAATGTAGAGTCTAGAGTTCGGAGTGTAGTGTTTAGAGCATGGGGTGTAAAGCGTAAGGAGTAAAGTGTAGAGTGCAGTCTGTCAAGTGTAAAGTGTGAAGTGCAAAATGTAAAGTGTAAAGATAGAGTGTAGAGCGTGGAGTGTAAAGTGTGGAGTGTGGAGTGCCAAGTGTCAAGTGTGGAGTGTAAAGTATAGAGTGTAGAGTGTGGAGTGTGGAGTGCGTAGTCTAAAGTGTAATGCGTGGAGTGCAAAGTGTAGAGTGTGGAGTGTAAAGTGTAGAGTGCGCACTGCAGGGTGCAGCGTGCAACGTGTAGAGTGTAGAGTGTGGAGTGCAAAGTGCCAAAAATGAAGTGTAAGGTGTAAAGTGTGAAAGGGTAAAGTGTAAAGTGTAGAGTGTGTGGACTGAAAAGTGCAGAGTGTGGAGCATACAGTGTACAGTGTATTGTGTGCAGGTGTTGAGTGTAAAGCGTAGAGTGTAGAGTGCCTGGTGTGGGGTCTCAAGTGTACAGTGTGGAGTGTAAAGTGTAGAGTGTAGAGTGTGGAGTGTAAATTTAGTGTAGAGTGCAAGTGTAAAGTGCAGAGTGTGGAGTGTGAAGTGTAGCGTGTGGAGTGTCAAGTGTGAAGTGTAAAGTGTAGAGTGTGTGGACTGCAAAGTGTAAAGTGTAGAGTGTGGAGTGTAAAGTGTATATAGAGTGCGCAGCGTCATGTGTGGAGTGTGATGTGTAGAGTGTAGAGTCTAGAGGTGTAAAGTGTAGAGTGTGGGGTGTAAAGTGCAAAGAGTAAAGCATAGAGTGCGGAGTGTCAGGTGCAAAGTGTGACGTGTAAAATGTAAAGTGTAAAGTACAGAATGTGGAGTGTCAAGTGTGGAGTGTCAAGTTTAAAGTTTTGAGCGTAAAGTGCAGAGTGCGGAGTGTAAAGTGTAGAGTGTGGAGTGCGTGGTGTACAGTGCAAATCGTAAAGTGTAAAGTGTAGAGTGTTCACTGTAAAGTGTAAAGTGCCCAGTGTCAACTGTAAAGTGTATACTGTACAGTGCAAATCGTGAAGTGTAAAGTGTAGAGTGTTCACTGTAAAGTGTAGAGTGCCCAGTGTCAACTGTAAAGTGCATGCTGAAATGCGTAGAGTGTAGAGTGTGGAGCGAAGTGTAAAGTGTAAAAAGTGAAGTGTAATTTGCAAAGGGCGGACTGCAAAGTGTAAAGTGCAGAGTGTGGAGTGTAAAGTCTAAAGTGTAGAGTGTAGAGTGTGGAATGTAAAGTGTAGAGTGTGGAGTGTAGAGTGTAGAGTGTGCAGTGTAGAGTCGGAGGGTGGAGTGCGGAGTGCCAAGTGTAAAATTCGAGTGTGGAGTGCCAAGTGTAAAGTGTTACGTGTAGAGCGTGGAGTGTGGGGTGCAAAGTGTGGAGCGCAAAGTTAAGAAGTTAAGAGTGCAGAGTGTAGAGTGCAAAGTGTAGAGTGGGGAGTGCAGAGGATACCGATGTTGATGTTGCTGACGGTGACCCCCGCAGGGGTTGAGCCCACAACCAAACTGCTTGTGAAGGGGAGGGGAGTGGAGGGGGGGGAGTCAACTGATTTTTTTCTCGCGATTGGAGATTCCAGCCCCCCCAATACCTTGCTAAAGCAAGAGGGACTTCAGCTAGCAGAAGCTAGCTTTCGTGACATGGGTATAGGTTTAAATGGGTCTTCGTTTGAAATTTAGCTGACCAATCCAAATCTGACAGGTCCAACCTCTTCCCTCCACCAGCTGGGCGGCTCTTTCGGAGGCTCAGGCTGCTGCATCTGCCGCTTCTTTGCCTTGTGTCGAGGCTGTGCCACGGGGCGGTCGGTCAACACTGAGGCCAAATGGGGCAGGAGCGGAGAAGTTTCAAGAGAGAAAAATCTTGAAAACCTGGTGGACAGGTGGTTGCTTTTACTTTTGGCATGGCGCTGGTCCTGACAAAATCAAAACATGGCTGGTCTGGACGTTCAATTCAAAAAACTGTGTTTTGACCCATGGCACCAGTCAACACAGGACAGCAAAAACCATAGTGTGCGTTGGGGTCCGCACTGCTTGTTTGCAGCGATCAATTGAATGGTCTCAATCAGCAAACGTTTCTGAAGCACACTTGGGGCAAGACTGCTAAAGGCGGCGGCACGTGTGGCGGTGGTGGCTTCGGCGGCGGTGCAGGCGGCCGGGGCTTCTGTGTCACACGGCGCTTGCCCTGACTCATACAGCGCTGTTTTTCGCAATGCATCTTTGTTGCTGCATTGTGTCTTCATGTTTCTTTGCCTTTGATTTTTGCTACATCCTCTCTGTTCTGCGTGGGCCCTTCAGTTTAATCACATCTTCCAGCCCCTCACCTCCTCCTAGCTCGCCTAAAAATCAAGTTGCAGATGCAGAAACCCTTCGAAGGTCTTCAGGGAACTATTCTTCAAATCTTCAAGGACTTAAGACTGCGCTTTCTGTAGCATTCAAGTGAAATGTTCGAAGTCAACATTTCATGGCTCTCAAGCTCCTCTTCAGCACCAAACTCAGCCATATCTGCCTTTCTCTTTCGCCTGAAGAAAGTATCTATGCTGTCAAACGTTCGCTTGCATTGTTGCACAACTCCGCTTCGGGACAAGATGCGATAAGTTAGCACAGCAAGGAAAAAGCCAGCAAACAATGAAGGTGAGAGGACCCTTCCAACAATCTGCAGCAAACTAGCGACGTCGAAACGCTTGTCAAGAGTGCATAAAGCATTGATCACTTGTCCAAACAGTGGATTGATCACTTGTCCAAACAGTGGGCAGCCTTGGCAACGGAGGTCTGGCATCAAAGGAATCCTGACAACTCAGGTACCAGAACCAAGGAGCTCAATTGAATTCATCTTACGTGCAATGAGCTGTTTGCTATTTTGCCCAAGCTCTGCCAGCTAGGGATGCTTCTGAACATGCTGCAGCATGTCAATGTACTGCAAGCCCCGCATTTGATGGATTAAGGTATCTTCCGGCACCTCCCGTAAGAAAGTTTGGTTCGCCCTCGCTCGATACTAGTGACGCGCCATAACACCAGTGCAGTGAGAGTGGAAAGTACCATAAAGCAACTACAAACTGCAACACGGTTCCATCCCTGTCTCCTGATCTTGCCTGCTCTTGCCTAAGCAAATCACCGTGTGGTCAACGTGTCAAACTTACGTGTGTGTGTGTATATATATGTATATTATATATATATATATGTATATTATATAATTATATATATATATGTATGACTGCATGACCCGGCAGGCGCAGCAACCACTAAAAAGAAAATCCACAGATCCCAAGATTCAAGCTTTTCGGAATACCAGCATCTTCTATCCATGCTGAGCCCGCTACCCGTTGTTGGCCTGGCTGAGAATGTGGGAACAGGAAAGATTGAGAATGCGCACCATCTAACCATGCACTAAAACTACAAAAAACAATAATGAATCAAAATGCTTCAAGCACAGTCGCCACTTCCTGAAAGCATGCATGAGCACTACTCTCGCTACGCCCCTTTATGATGCTGCATAGCCAAACGAAAGTCCATAGAAACAACCATCCCCAGGTCACCATTGCCTTTTGGAGCCGGCTGATCGGGCTTTGCATCGCTCTTCCAAGGCTTCACTCAACTCCTCTCGTTTTTTGGCACAGATCCCGAAAGCTGCCGTGGCGCCACTTTCAGCTGCAGCTGATCAGTCCTCTTCTTGGTCTTTGGACCTCAGCTTCTGGAGGATTCTTATGAAAGAACATACCAAACGCGTGGAAGAGAGACTGCCACTATTTGGATGCGTCCCCGTTCCGTTAAGAAAAGTGGTTCCAGTCAAAAAGTACCTTGTTGCCCTTGAAAACAACAGCTTTAAGGCAAAAACACCCAGCGAGGCCAGAAGCAGCGCAGGACTGTGGATTTGGAGACGCAGTGAGAATGAGACCACTCAAAACCATACCCCGGAAACCCTTCGGCGGCATGCTGCGGGGTTCCCGCGGGGTGGATTGGCAGTTGCCCACGTACAGCGCCTTCACTTGTCAAAGAAGGTGGACCCAAAGCATGGTAAAGCTAAGAGTAAAGCCAGCTGTCACTTTTTGGCACCGGATCCTGCAAGGCAATCGGTTGAACTCACAGCTGACTCAGGTCCTCCCACCAAGTTAGGAAACGTCCAGACAGCACAGAAAGAAAATGGTAGATGCTATGTGTCTTCAAACATGATAGAATCTTTTGCGCAAGACGCCAAGCTCTCACTCCTCCTTTTCAAAGTCTTCATGCTCGCGGTATTGTTCTCCTTTGAGGCACGCTTGTTGATTTTTTGTATGTGTGTGTGCGGCTGAAATGGAATAGCAGCAGCAGCTTCCATCCTAGGTTGAATGTATTTGCAGGCTCGAGAATCAATACCAAGGAGATTGAAAAGTGGAATACCAAGAAAGGAAATGGTCAACAACAGGAAACAAAAGGCCATGACAGATTTGCTGAACCTTCTCTATATCTTATTGTCAAAGTGGATGCCATTACAGTGAGAGCTCTTGCAGTGCACCAAACAAACTCGAACAGAACTCAGGAGTCTCAATGAAACTTGCAGGAAAGCTTGAGACAACTCTCGCCTTCCCCATACGGGTCGAAGAAGTCCATGTCTGGCAGCTTGTCTGCGGCTTCGAATACCTCCGGACGTTCTTCATCAAGCCTCACAAAGCGCGAACCCAAAGCAAAAGCAGGGTGCAAAGATCAGGGAGTTAGTGAAATACAGGTGCGAATCAAGAGCACAAAATCCACATATTGCCAATCAAGTGCTGCAGATTGCAGACAGATAAAAATAAATGCCTGCTTGCACGCCCTTCATCCGCAACTTCCATGTATGTTCTGCTGCAATATCAAGGAAAAAAGTAATTATTTTATAATGTATTTTGATACGCTGTACATCAGCATCTCTGAATTCAGCCCCAGCATTAATGCACTGAGGATATCTTTGATCTCTGGATCTCTGGGGCCCTCCTTTTTTCCATCCTTTCCCTCATCCATGACCCGAGCCGAGCAACCTCACATCGCTTGCAGCATCTTCCGCCAGCTGCTCCTCGATTAGCTACTGAAGTGGGTGTCCCTTGACTGTCTTGACTGGTTATGTGTCATATCCTTATAATTTACATATACATATATAATTTATCCCTACTACCTTAGACGGGGGGGACCTGGAAAATGTAACATACATTTTCCATATGCTCAAAATGCAGGTTTTGGAAATTCTGCATTTTCCACATCTTAAGTACGAAAACTACCATATGTAACCCCATATAGATCTAAGAGACGTAAAAATGTAACGTTACATTTTTAGGTCTTTATAGCCTCCAAGACAGATCAACATACATTCAACATACCTAAAGAAACATGTTACATTTTTTAAATGTAACATGTCCAGTTGAGGTCTCAAGTACGTAAAGATACGTAAAGCCTTTTTTTCCCTCCTTCGTGCCAAGAGCTCATCCGCGCGTGCAACATGCATTCCTACTGGAAAGTAACGTGGGGTTTCTGATAACATCCAAATTTCTGAAAATATTTCCACTCATTTCCAATCCCATTTTTTTCAAGGCCTTTCAAGGCAGCCTTTGAATTACGAATGCCCATGAATGCCCAGACGCCCCACTTTGAGTAATGCAAAACACTAAGTTTTCCTACCCCGGGCCCTGCATCTTAGATTTTCAAAACTTAGGGATTAATAGGTCCAAAATGTAACATGGCACTGGGAGGGCTCCCAAACCCTGCAAAAACAACAGTACTTGCCTACCCTAGCCCCTGCATGTTACATTTTACATCATTTTACATATGCGCACGCGCATCGCAAATCTTAGGGTCTTTGGGATTGATAGGTCGAAAATGTAACATGGCCATGGGAGGGCCCCCAAACGCTGCAAAAACACAGTAATTCCCTACCCTAGCCCCTGCATGTTACATTTTACATACGCGCATACGCATCATCGCGCATCGCAAATCGCAGGGATCTACAGATCAAAAATGTAACATGGCCATGGGAGGGCTCCCCAAGCTTGCAAAACACAGTAGTTTCCTACCCTGGTCCTTGCATGTTACATTTTACATACGTGCACAAGCATCGCAAATCGCAGGGATCAACACGTCCAAAATGTAACATGGCCATGGGAGGTCTCCCAAACCCTGCAAAAACACAGTAATTCCCTACCCTAGCCCCTGCATAATACATTTTACATACGCGCATGCGCATCATCGCGAATCGCAAATCGCAGGGATCAACAGGTCGAAAATGTAACATGGCACTGGGAGGGCTCCCAAACCGTGCAAAACACAGTAGTTCCCTACCCTAGCCCCTGCATGTTACATTTTACGTACGCGCACAAGCATTGCAAATCGCAGGGATCCACAGATCAAAAATGTAATATGGCACTGGGAGGGCTCCCAAACCTCGCAAAATACAGTAGTTTCTTACCCTAGTCCCTGCATGTTTCATTTTACCTAAGTGCGCACACATCTCATCGAGCGTGAAATTTCTCGAGGCGTAAGTAACTTAGGACTTGGAGCCTTTTGGATATCATCAGCATTGTCGATGTTTTCATGTATCTTCAGGTCTGCCTAAGGTCTGCCTAAATAAAAAAACACAAACACATAAACAATGAACAACAAGAAATAACCATGTATTAACATATATGTAAAAACATTAAAAAATGTAACATATACCTCCCCACGTCTATGTTACATTTTCTTGGGCCCCTGTAACATATGCTTGTTGGGGGGGGTCCCCCCCCCTTACGTATAGATTACGTATGGTTTCTTCGTATGGAAGGGGGGGGCTAAACAAATGTAACATGCAGGCGGGAGGTACATGTTATATTTGTTTGCCCCCCCCCTTCACCTTGTATGATAGCTATATGGAGGGTGGGGGGTCAAAAAGAATTATTGTATCTTACATTTTTGGGGTCCCCCTGGTTTTCGGCAAGCCAAGGGGGTAGGGATTATAATTTGTAATATCTATATAATTATGAAATGACTTATGATTGCTTATAAAGTTTATAGCACATCTTGGAACGTTGAGCATGTTCAGCCAAGTGCCCTCCTACTTTCTCGGCCAGTTCACCTACAACATTCTTACACAAGCAAAAACAGAAAAGAAATCAAACAGCAGATTGATCTGATTGTTCCACATTTCCCAAAACTTCTCTCTGCCGAGTCAGCTAAGTCAGCTCCTTTCTCTGCCGCTCCAATGCTTCTTGGACAATCGCATCTAGCTCCGTCTGCTCATCGCAATCCAGGGCCGGGCTGAGGTCGTCCAATTCGTCGCCGTCTCGAGCATCTTCCTGCAAATGTGTTTTTGCGCCAAATTTGGGTGGTCAATACATTTCAAGACCAATATGTAAATATAAATATATATATATATATACAGTATGTATGTATATATATATATAAGAAGTTGGGATTTTTAAGTGTTTGACGGACAAACCAAACATTCTACCCGTCTGCCCTCTCCTTGTGCTGCTGGGCACCTGAGCAAATCCCAACAAAACTGCCTTTGGAGCAGAAGATGTGCTGAACGAATCAACCGTCACATCACTTGGTCCACTGGCAATTGGAAAGAAATTCAACGATAGAGTTATTTTTTCAGATTTTTCTCTGTATTTGAAGATCTTGAAAAGTGAAAAGCCAACAGGACCAGACAGGACCTGGTGACAAAACCATAGCAAGTTGACTTACCAGCTCGCAAGTGGCGAGCTTGTTGCCGACATCAAAGCTTTCACGTTGTTCTTGAGATGCAAACCAACTTCTAGTTTGCTGTAGAATCAGTTCTGCTACAACATTTGAGCATACGCATTCGTGGTTGCATAGCAAACGGAGGGCCAGCTTGTCTACAAAGGAGCTTGGTATGAAATGCCGATTCGTTTGCTCTCCAGGCTCCTGGAAAAAGCGGACGCAAGGCCAGCTTGTTCTCCCTCAAAAAGTGTTCGGTTCGAAAGGGTGGCATTTAGACCGGCCAATGAAAAGAAGAGTATGCCAGATAAAGACAAATAAACCGGATACACCGGACATGCACTTCTCTCGTTTTAAGGTGAGGAAAACCCTGCTAGCTAAGTGGTGGCTGATCAAGATTGGCATACTCATCAAACTGCTTGAGGCCAACACTCAGACAGAAACAGCAACTCTCTGACACCTACAGTTGTGTCTATTAAATGTCTTGGGCATTTGAGCTTCTACTAACAACCCACTTAAACCATCTTAAACCACCATAAACCACTCAAACCCTTCAAAGAAACAAAAAACTGATACCTGCCGCATTCTGAGGCCTGTGAACCATCAACCATCATCATGAACCTTTTCCCGTGGCTTTTTAAAGCCCGTTCCGTGGTCAAGCCATTCCAATCTACTGTATTGAATTGGCTCTCAGCTCTCCTCTCGTGGTCGAGTAGAACCTGGAACAAGCAGTCTCGATGCTGGCAATGCCACCAGAAAACATCTCAGTGCTTCAGATCAGCTGATGTTGTGACAACATGTAAAACTCGAAAGTGGTTCAAAACTCCAAAATGTTCAAAGCAAAATTCGAGTCATTTCCTTCCCCTATCACATAGTTGCTGCTATCCTGCCCTCATTGCCGTTGCAAGTTTCCAGCACACTTTCTGGTCCGTCTTTCACTTTTGGACATGTCACTAAGGCCACTATGTCCCTATATGCACCCTTTCCCGCCTCCATCTGGCCGTCGTGTTGGGGGAATGCGGGGCATCGGCTCCGGCTCCGGTGCCCCTTGGGGCATCTCCTCTGGCATCGACCTGCCAGGGGCTTCATCACTTGGACAAGTCCAAGGGGCCAAGATCTGTCACTGGGTGTGTCACCTCTACCATCTTTCCAGCTCATTCCCTCCAAAAATGGAATCACCATAATGTGGTAAAACCAATGCCATAAAGCATCCCCAAAAATAACCCATGGCTGTAGTGGTATAAACCATCCCCAAATGATCGGTTTAGTGTCGCCGCCTCGCTGGCGCCGCCGGCTGCAGCCGCAACGAGGTGGGCTGGGTGAAAACCCCAGGCGGCGCTGCCAAATCAGCGCTGCTTGGCACCTGGCAGGGCGCGAGCTTGAGAAGAAAAGTTACAGATACCGCATTCAAAATGAATGTAATGAAGAATGAAGACTGAAGAAGTGATTTGTTCTGCTCAGAGTTGATGCAAAATGAATGAATTTCTGAGTTAAACCCAACTCTTGATACTTTTGGCTCAGTTGCCTGTGACACAGGGAGCTGCCATACAGTCTCTCTTGTGCCAGGATTGTGGTAGTATGGGCGTCTGCTCCTGCAAGAACGTGAGAGCAAGCAGGGCAAGTTCAAACAATTGGACACGGCCTTCTTTTGTCACGATGTCCCGGGATGTCTCGCGATTTCTTGATTCCAGCTAATGCACTGCACTGAAGCATGCGGTTGGAAGTCTTGGACACACATTTGCTAGAAACCTCATGGCATCTCCATGTTGTTTGTACGACAGAAAAACACGCCTGTAGTCCATGAGTCGCTGCCAAAAGCCAATCTGTGGTGGCGGAGGCTTCCAATCCGAGGTCATCTCTGTATGGTTCCAATAGTAGCGCCTGCCAAGTTCATCCATCCTCATCTCTATAACAGGCACCCGATCCTTGGAGCCGCACACAGGGTGCATTTGAGGCATCAGCATGTCCCAAAAATGGATGCGCACAAGAGATTTCGCAAGGCCCAACATGTCCCGTTTCAAACTCTGACTTTTCTGTAGAGTTGCGGGTACATGCCCTGCATGCCCTGATTGCCCTGCAGGCCCTGCAGGACTGCCCGGACCCCTGCAGGATATCAGGATTCAAGAAATGCAGCAAAGCTTGCGTCTGGCCGGCCAAAGGCACTCTCGAAACTATAAGTCAAACATTCAACATTTGCAACATTTGCACGAATTTGCAGCTGTGAATATTCCTTTAGGGGTCAACGTCGGATTGCGAAACTTCCCGGTCGGATTGTGAAACTTCCCGGTTGGATTGTGCAACTTGGATTGTGAAACTTGCCCGTCGGATTGTGAAACTTGTCTTGTGAAATTTGAAAATCGGATTGTGAAACTATAAAGTAGGATTGTGAAACTCTGCAGACGGACTGTGAAACTCTGGGGGCGGATTGTGAAACTAGGATTGCGCAACTCTGAAGGCGGATTGTGAAACTGGGGACGGATTGTGAAACTGGGATTGCGAAACTCTGAAGACGGATTGTGAAACTCTTGGGACGAGTGTGAAACTGAGATTGTGAAAGTCTGAAAACAAATTGTGAAAATTTGGGGGAAGATTGTGAAACTGGTATTGTGAAAGTCTGCAGAGAGATGGTGAACTGCGAACCTCTGAAGACAGATCAGAAAACTTGTGGAGACTCCAAGGCAGTTTGAAGTTCCATGGCCAGTTTGAAGTTCCATGGGGTGGGATTTTTGATATCATCTTAGCCTTGCGGAGACTCCAAGTCAGTTTGAAGTTCCATGGGGGTGGGAATTTTGACATCATCTTAACTTTGTCGGGACCCCAAGCCATTTTGAAGCTTCATGGGGCGAAATTTTGACACCATCTCAGCCTTGTGGAGACTCCAAGTCATTTTGAAGTTCCATGGGGCGAAATTGTGACACCATCTCGGCCTTGTGGAGACTCCAAGTCAGTTTGAAGTTCCATTGGGGTGGGAATTTTGATATCATCTTAACCTTGTGGAGACTCCAAGTCAGTTTGAAGCTCCATGGGGGTGGGAATTTTGATATCATCTCAACCTTGTGGAGACTCCAAGTCAGTTTGAAGTTCCATGGGGGTGGGAATTTTGACATCATCTTAACCTTGTGGGGGCTCCAAGTCAGTGTGAAGCTCCATGGTGGTGGGAATTTTGACATCATCTTAACCTTGTGGGGACTCCAAGTCAGTTTGAAGTTCCATGGGGGTGGGAATTTTGATATCATCTTAGCCTTGTGGAGGCCCCAAGTCAGTTTGAAGTTCCATGGCGATGGGAATTTTGATATCATGTAAACTTTGTGGATAGCACAAGTCAGTTTGAAGTTCCGTGGGGGTGGGAATTCTGATATCATCTTAACCTTGTGGAGAGCCCAAGTCAGTTTAAAATTCCATGGGGGTGGGAATTTTGATATCATCTTAACTTTGTGGGGACCCCAAGCCAGTTTGAAGTTCCATGGGGTGGGAATTTTGATATCATCTTAGCCTTGCGGAGACGCCAAGTCAGTTTGAAGTTCCATGGGGGTGGGAATCTTGATATCATCTGAACCTTGTGGGGACTCCAAGTCAGTTTGAAGTTGCATGGGGTGGGAATTTTGATATCATCTTAACCTTGTGGAGACTCCAAGTCAGTTTGAAGCTCCATGGGGGTTGGAATTTTGATATCATCTTAACCTTGTGGAGACCCCAAGTCAGTTTGAAGTTCCAAGGGGGTGGGAATTTTGACATCATCTTAACCTTGTGGGGACTCCAAGTCAGTTTGAAGTTCCATGGGGGTGGGAATTTTGACACCATCTCAACCTTGTGGGGACTCCAAGTCAGTTTGAAGCTCCATGGGGGTGGGAATTTTGATATCATCTTAACCTTGTGGCGACCCCAAGCCAGTTTGAAGCTCCTTGGGGGTGGGAATTTTGATATCATCTCAACCTTGTGGAGACTCCAAGTCAGTTTGAAGTTCCATGGGGGTGGGAATTTTGATATCATCCTAACCTTGTGGAGGCTTCAAGCCATTTTGAAGTTCCATGGGGGGAAATTTTGGCATTATCTTAGCCTTGCGGAGACCCCAAGTCAGTTTGAAGTTCCATGGCTGCGGGGGCATTGTGATATCATCTTAGCCTTGTGGAGACTCCAAGTCAGTTTGAATTTCCATGGGGGTGGGAATTTTGATATCATCTCAGCCTTGCGGAGACTCCAAGTCAGTTTGAAATTCCATGGGGGTGGGAATTTTGATATCGTCATAACTTTGTGGGACTCCAAGTCAGTTTGAAGTTTGAAGTTCCATGGGAGAGAGAATTTCTATATCATCCTTGCCTGGTGGAGACTCCAAGTCAGTTTGAACTTCCATGGTGGTGAGGGAATTTTGATATGTCACCTTAACAGTGTGAAGACTCCAAGTCAGTTTGAAGTTCCATGGGGCTGGGAATTTTGATATCATCTTAACCTTGTGGGGACTCCAAGTCAGTTTGAAAGCTCCATGGGGGTGGGAATCTTGATATCATCTTAACTTTGTGGAGACTCCAAGTCAGTTTGAAGTTCCATGGGGGTGGGAATGTTGATAACGTCTTTCTCTTGTGGACGGCACGTGTCATTTTTTCAAATTCTATGGGGGCTGGAACTGTTTGGAGGAAGTGTCGTTGCAGAGTTGCGTAGTCCGGAAAGCGCAGTTGCACAAGCAGAGGTACACAAGTCTGGGAGTTGCGTAATCTGTCAAAAGCAGTTGGGCAAGCAGAGTTGCGCAATCAGAGTTGCGCAATCCTGAAATTTGCGCACGCGGAGTTGCGCAATCCTAGCTGCGCAATCCGACCAAAGAGTTGCGCAATCCTGGGAGTTGCACAATCTGTCGAAAGCAGTTGCGCAAGCAGAGTTGCGCAATCCTACGGTGATCAACAGTAGGAATTGCGGAATCAGAGTTGCGCAATCCTGTAAGTGGCGCAAGCGGAGTTGCGCAATCCTGGGAGTTGCGCAATACTAGTTGGGCAATCCGACCAAAGAGTTGCGCAATCCGGAGAGGTTGCAGCATCGGACTTTATTCTCCTTTAGGATTGGTGTGTGTGTGTGTGTCACTCACTGTGTGATAAATCACAAATCGCAATCTTGACTCTTGCTGCACTTGCTGCATGCTCAAGTGATCCATCCCAAAAGATGCGTTCACGCCTCATCAATCCGGGTTGGGCTGGAGGCGGATGCCACGCTGCATGCTCCAAGTCTGCCTAGGTCTAGCGAGCAGAATGGACCGCTAACGCCTGGAAAATCATCAAATGATTTCTTCTTAGTTGGATTTTCAACATTTCATTGAATTCATCTAAAGAAACTCTTTCAAATGGATTTCAAATGATTTCAGAATCACTGGCACTGCTGCACTGGCACTGTTGCAAATCCAACCAAGAAAAGCAAAAACTATGTAGCTTGGCAGCAGCTGTGCAACGGTCGCCCACAACCACAAGCCGAAAGGTGATGCTCTCCCCCAGTCTCAAGCCACTCCTCAGGGGAGGGAAAGAGGTGAGGGTGACACACCTTCCCATCAAACAGCTATTTTCCCTACCTTCGTGTATCTTTGATGTGTCCTGGTCTTGGCATCTTAGTAGTAGCGATGATCTTGCAACTCGGATTTTGCTTTCGCAAATCACCAGACCCAAAGCACTGGATGCTGCAATGCCTCGACTGACTCTTGGGAATGAAAACTGTGCCATCGTTGATGGCCAGCTTCACTTCATCACAGTCAATCTCCTCAGCAGGTTCAAGCCGCCAGGAGGCAGGCGCAGGATGTTTGTAAGACTTCGCTTCTCCCCAATCCTCCAGATGAACTGTAAAAATGGATCCACTTTCGGTCAAGTAAACAATCACCTCCTGGTCAGTCCTAGTCAGCCAAGTATCAAGATCGTCAGCATAATCCTGCTCACCTGAAGGTCAACATTGTTCCCCATGCCTTTTGCTGTACGCAAGCTCTGGTCTGTCGAATCCTTTTGTCTATGTTTTGCATGACAGAAACTGACAAAATGGGTTGATTGGAGAAGAATGGGAAGTTCAGCATAAATAGCCAGTGACTATGAAGACAACGTAAGCATATGTGGCAGCTACAGCTACAGCTATACAAGCAGTGTCCATAGCAGTCAAATCAGACCAGTTTCCCTCCAAAGTCGAACCCAGCAATGTCAAAAACTGCGTCAAACTGCAAGCCTCCAACACGAGCCACATGGTCCTGCAGGTCTTAGATGTACATTATAATTAGCAACTGGCTGTTGAAGTAGCCAATAAATACTCTTAGATTTGACCCTGCTCTACATGGGATCTATTCCAGTCAAGAGAGAGGAAACGAAACAAGTCGCGTTATGTATGTGTATATATATATATACATATTATATAATCATATATAAGCTATTATAATAATATTGTGATGATGATGATGATGATGATGATGACGACGACGACAATGATGATGACGACGACGACGACAATCATAGTAATAGTAATGATAATACTCATGGAGATATCTTGTTCTTTTTGGTGTAATATCTGAGGGTTGTCAACCACCAGTGGGATGAACATCCAAGAAAGGCAGAGCTGGCGGGTCCTTCACCATGCCAGTGAGGCGTCGCCGAGTGAGGCCCAGCAATTTCAGCACAGCAGGTCCTGCGGCTTGGCTGCGGAAAGGACCTGATGTGGAGATGGTTCCCTTTTAAAAACACCAAAAAGACAAGTTGCCTGGAATTCTGGAATACCATTAGATACTGCCTGACTAGTAACTCCGACATTCTTTACTATTCTTTACTATGCAACTAATCATACAGATACTACTGGCATCTTGAATGGAGTGAAGTCGCAACTCTTACCGTGGCCTAGGGAGCGAAGGAGGTCATCACCACGACGCCGCATGTACTTTTGGAGCTTTGAGACTTCACCTGGACAATTTGAAAATGAATCAAATCGCCATCAATGCTGAGGAACTCGAGATGCGCAAGATGCGCTCTTGGATTGTGAATCTGATTCCTTTTAGGTCTCGAAATAGGTTTGATGACGTCTATTGTGTTTTGTTCTGGTCAAACGCAAAGAAGGGTCCAATCTTTACAATCAACGGTTTTTCTTTCACTGTCAACTGTCAAGTACATTGCTTGTAAGAAATTTGGAAGCAAGACTTCAGCGACTGTAAAATTCACCCAAGCCATATCCTGATCGAAGCGTTGCTGGCTAGACCTGGTAGCCTGCACCATGATTGATCGTTATTGATGCCCTTTGTCGTAAATCAAAGCACCCTGTCTGCACCATGTCCATGTCCATGACCTCTGGTGACTCTGCTGACCAACTGCTGCCGAATCACTCTGATCCCCTGAATGTGGTATCAGATTGTCTCCTTCAGGCCTCAGAGTCGGAAATCTGGTTTGGTGTCATCTGCATGCCAGATTTACATCTGGTGTGCACTACCTGTCACCACTGTCCAGTGAACACCTAGAAGCTAAAAGCCAGGCCCTCCTTCCTATGAATTTTCCGATGTGTGATACTGCCAGTCTTGAACCAGCGTACACTGTCCATTCACAGATGAGACAAGTCCGCATGCTACGTCCGTCTTGACGCAGCCATCTCTTGAAGTTGTGAAGCTGTGAAGACTTGGAGATGGAGACAGGTAGCTGCGCCAAACCGCGCTCGACAATCTCTTGAAGAATTTCCTTCAACAGTTGTGTGTTCTTGGCCTCAGTGGTGTGCATTCGATCAGCGTCGCTTCATCACTGTTCAATTCATTCAGTTGAAAGAGCATGGACTATCAGACTATCACAACATGTCACACCCTTTCCTCTCCGAAAATTGCATCAAAGTCACAAGCTCTGACTGGTAGCGCTCAGATCGCTCAATTAGAGGGGCGAAAGCACAAACCTCGGTGGACAGATCGATGATCCGTGGCTCAGGCTTAGCTCCAGAATGTTCCAACTGGGTTGTTACCTTTTGTCAAAGCGGACTTTTCCACAAATTGTCTGCAATGTGTCTTGAGCTCTGTTGTAAAGGGGTCGGTCTCTAGCATTCTGACGGGTTCCAAGGCCTAATTCCTGAGAAGGTCAGTGGACCATGCCATGTATGAGTCATTCTAGGCATAGGCTGCCATAGGTTGTCCCTGAACTTTAACCTGTCTGGGGCTCCGGCTGCTTCTTTCAGGGCCATGACTTTGTCCAACTCACCACAAAGTGTGATTTCCAACATCTGTTCATGGCCTGCCAGTCGTCCCAGTCGGCTAAAAGTTGGGTGCCTAGGCGCCTAGAAAACCTCTGAGTCTGCTCGCATTTAAAAGGTAGTTGAAACGAAAGGTCTTGGGTGTCTGCAGTGTCTGCAGTCTGCATCTTTCCATTTTTTGCAGCTCATGGTTTGCATGTGAATAAGTGATCATATCAGAGTGGCCGAGCTCAAGACATCTACGACGACTTGATGAGAATAAACTGTGTCCGTATGTTGGGCCTTTGTTGCTGTCGTTATAGGCGACATCGATTGCAAGAACCTGCAATGGCAAACGCATCTTAGACGTCGCCATTACATCTGTGGACTCAACACCCAGGGCACTTGAATAAAACCATCACATGGGGGTTTCCATAAATGGGGTTACCCCCAATTTTTTGTATGGTTTATAATGGAAAAAATCCCATTAGAATTGATGATTTAGGATGATTTAGGGGTACCCCTATTTTAGGAAACCACAAAATCATCATACAGTCAGATCTGATTCGGGTTGCCTCCTTCCAGTTTCTGCAGATGTTGTGCAGGAATCTAGAGTCCTTCGAGCAAGCTTCATGGAAAGACGTATGTGACTGACACACACTGACACACAGGAACATTCAGAAGAATCGGCTAACATCTTCAAAAAAGAATGCCTTTCAGTGGCGGATCCCTACTCTACTTTTCAAATTTGAGGATTCCTTGCCCACTTTGAACATTGTACCTGTCTTATTAATCCTGGCTGCCTTCAAATAGAACTATCCGCCTGGAAATTATTTCCCAGTGGGAGATGCGTTGATTCACATTTCGAGCCGTCATTTCCACAAGACTGCGAGTGTTGTGATCCACCTGCCCAGTCCTTCTTGTGTCCTGCAAAGGCCTGCGCAAATCATTGATTTTTCGGTGAAAGAACTCACCAAAAAAACCCAGAAAAAAATCAATGGCACCTGCAAATCCACCCGAGCCAGTCGCAGCGGTGTCACCACGAAGCCGATCGCTGAGAAGTCGTCCTCTGCGGTGTCATGGCTGGATGCGGTGTCAGTGGCTACGTGATTTCCGTCGAGAAATGATAGCTACTACGGTCAAACACTGCAAGACACTGTAAATAGTGGGTCATTCTGGCACTCCTGAATAGCTCGGGGGGACTTGTGCGTCATTGCACAAGTCATCCTAAAACCCTAAAACCCAAGCCCTAAACCCTCAAAACCACGGCAAAACCAAGGGCATGTCAAGGTCGTCCTGAAACTAAAACATCGAAACCCTAAGACCTAATTCGTAAACCCTAAAATCATGGAAACGTAAAAGTGATGTTGGGCGAAATGAGCTCTTTGGGCGGAATACGACAGCAATATAGATATAAACAGCATTTATAATGTGTATATATGCAATATATATATATTATATTATGTGTATATATATATGTACACGTATTCGTGAACGTATGTGTATATATATATGCTTGCCATTCGATTGACTGCAGGCCCGAAGGAAAGGTTCTTGACTTTGTGCTTACAAGTAGAAAGCCATCTCTACATTGCAAGAGGTGACAAGTTTCTGGACGCACAAGCTGTCCTGCGACATTTGCCAAAGGACACCTCAGATGCTCGATGCTGAGCATCCAGGCCGTCCGCAACACTGGCGTTTGGGATTGTCATCCCACATTAAAGATGGAAAGTGAAACAGATCAGTCACCAAGCTGACAAAATTTATCAAAATTTGGAAAATCCAGCAACACAGCTATGACGGTGATGGTGTTGTGATGTAGAAAGGCCGGTCAGGGTTTCAAACTTACGTACTTGGTAGTATAACCTTATTGCCTATGACAGCACTGCTTTTTTGAAGGTACTTGCACGGACGCCGATGCAGAAAGGCACGTAATTTAGAAGTTTAGCAATGGTTCTGATCATCTTAGAAACAGCTCTGATTTCTAGAGCTAGCTCACACAATGAACCCAAATAAAAAGGTGGGTGAAGGTCCTATAACCAATATAGTACTTGCGTTTTCTTCGGCCAGCCTTCCAATACACCATCGATGTGCTTGATTGATGCTGTTTGCTTTTTGAAGAACAAGTTGAGGGCAGTTGCGCTTGTTTGTGCCATGTCGGAGACGCAAAAACTCAAAAATGCAGTCCACGCACAATAATGGTAGTTTTTGCATTTTTTTGACCATGGCTTTTGGCGATTTTTGAACTGACTTTTTCCTATTAATTACTTAATTTCATTTCTGCTGCTGCCGCTCTCCCCTATTTTTTTGCTTCTCAAGCGTATTGGTCCGCAATGATCCTGACATGCTCAATAACCCCTCTACTCTTTTCAAAAAAAACTGCTGTGCATGCGTGTCGGGGAGGGGGCCAATCGTGGTCAATAAAGTTGGCACCCCCCCAAAACGGCCTAACATGAGAAATGTGACATGCCAGAGTCTGTCAGACAACCATGGAGCGCTGCTTTTTGCTGTTCCGTATGCAACCCAAGTACCTTCGCAGTCTGCAACATTCGCGGGACTTCCTTTCAGCCGCAAAGGTAGAGAATCCTGGCCGCCAAGACTTTGATCTTCAAGACTTGCAACACTTGTGGGTCTTTGGTCAACACTGCGCAGAGATTGACACATTGGAACCTGGAACCTTGCCCTGGTCCTTGGGAACATCTGGGTAATCTTTGCTGTCTAACACCTTGACGTGCCTAAGTATCGTAGATTCATGGATGACAGCACAGAAATCTTGTCTGAACAAGCAGGACAAAGAAAGTGGTGGTGATGGTGGTTGCGACAACGACATGGTGATGCTGATGATGCAAATGATGATGGTGATGCTGATGCTGATGCTGATGATGATGATGATGATGATGATGCTGATGCTGATGCTGATGCTGATGCTGATGCTGATGCTGATGATGCTGATGCTGATGATGTTGATGATGATGATGATGATGATGATGATGATGCTGATGCTGATGCTGATGCTGATGCTGATGCTGATGCTGATGCTGATGCTGATGCTGATGATGCTGATGATGATGATGATGATGATGATGATGATGCTGATGGTGCTGGTGCTGGTGCTGGTGCTGGTGCTGGTGCTGCTGGTGCTGGTGCTGATGGTGATGGTGATGGAGATGAGCTGACTGCACCCCTACACCGAGTAGTGCTAAGTTCAGTCCATGATGTCTCGAAGCATTCTAAACACGGCAGAGCATCGACTGGACTCCTTGCAAGATTGGCATGAGCAGACTGGCTCGGTCCCATCCATGGTGAGTTTCAACATGGTTCAATCTCTATTGTGTGAAGCTAAGAAAACCAGGCAGGAGATCCAAGTTGCACTCCATAAAGCTCTTGTAGCTTGCGAATCATGGCACCTTGACAATTTAAAAGACGGTTCCTGGCATCGGGCTGATTCCAAAGGGATGCTCCAAACTGTCAAGAATTCAGAACGTAAAACTCTTGAACGCTGGCAAGAGAACAACGAGGCATCCGCATCAAGAAATCAAAACTGGAATGCCATGAGTCCATGAGACTATCCTCCGGCCTGCTGAGGTTTGGGATCTCCACAAATCCTTGGCCCAAACTCTGGATTCACCGAAACAGCAAGGTCATTGTTCTTCCGGCAGGTCAACCTCACCTGTCCTGTCTTGATATACTGGTTTGCGCTCTTCATTTTACGTACGCAAAGTTTAAAGTTTCGACTCAAGACTTCTTCTCTGCAGTGCGTTTCACTAGATTCACTACGTACATGTCACTATATACCATAACATATGCAGTACATTTGCACGCAGGCTCGGGCCGTAGGTTTTTTTGTCCATTTTGCACACGGCTAGTGTCTACAAGAACTCACAAGTCAACATGGCATGCGAAAAAGGGATGTGGTCCATGACATGTCCTTGGATTTCTGGCGCATAGCCGCTCTAAAATGCTGGGGCCCTGGTCCATGTGCATACTTGATATGCACGTCATATCTGATATTCGTGTTTGAACTTGTACAGCTTTACGTCTTCTTTTCCAAGCGTTACTCCAACCAAATGCTTGCTCTGTCCATGATTTGTCGTTTGAACTTCTAGTTGCACCCAAATTTTACCAGTTTGAGCTACCAGTTTGAGCCAGTCTGCTCCTCTCGCAGAAAGAACTTTTGTTGAAATTATATAGATGTTGCTGCTCTTCTTCTCTCTGGCTCTTGTCTATGTACTGTACCTTCCAGTTGTCGCTCTGAAAACGGGAAGCCAAAAATTATCAGACGCAGATCAAGAGCCCCAAAGCCAATTCCAGAAACAGAAGTGGGTGGCCCAACATGGCCACAATGCCAAAAAAAAGACCTTCGCTGAAGTCCAATCAGGTGGTGAAAGTAGATATTCCAAACAACTAGCTCACCGCTCAGGAGTTTTTGGTTTCACTCATAAAATTGACCACTAGGCCAATGCCGGAATCCTCTGTGGCAAAGCAAGCGCTTGATGCCAGTGCAGAGTGATCTCCTCTAATCAAACAGCAACAGAAAATCGCCCATTTCTAGATGAAAACTTCCATTTCCAGGTGATTTCCCATGGCCATCTTTGATCAGCGGGAAACAGCAGCCACTCAGGGCAGCACGTTCCTCACGTTCTGCATCCTTTTTGGAGGGTCTCGACTGTCTCCGTAAAGCTGCAGCTCGGGTCTGGATGTCCTAAGCAGATCGGTTGAATAGGGGATATTCACAATCAATGGGATATTGATGGGATAATCAATGGGATGATAATAGGACATTAATGGGACATCAATGATATATCATTAAGGGTCATTAATGGGATATAATATATCTCTGACAATGGGAGATAATAGGATATAATGATAATATGATTGTCAATAGGACATTAATGGGATATAATATATCTCTGACAATCAAGCATGACAATAGGAACAATGTGACAAAGACAAAGCGCTTTGAAATGGGCGGTTCCAGATGTTCAAGATGTTCAAACTGCACAGCATTTGAAACGGGCGCATAAACCATGTTCTGCAAACACATGCGCAGAAAAGCAAAGTCCTTTGACGTCAAATGGTAAAGGATATGGCACACCAACAGAAAGGAGTTTCGTATAGCAAATCAAACTGAGAGCAAAAAAGCATGTACGCACCACCTTTCAAACATTCTAAAATCAAACCAGTTTCCTGGCCTAGTCCGTTCTCCGTTGGACAGCTCTACTCATGGGTCTTTCGGAAAGTCTTTCGCTTTGATCAATCCTCCGAAATGCAGCCACGCTGCAGAGACGCTTGAGTTGCCTCAGTTATGAACCACCACCATTTGGCAAGTGTTTTCACGCAAACCATGCGTAGAACCGTAGAACAAAACATGTTGTAGAACAAGACACAAATCAAAATGTGTGCAGAACGAGGCTTTCGAGGGGCATGTGTCAAGAACAAGGAAAATCAGCGATGGATAGACACCTAGAGTCAGTCCATTTCAGCACAGCTGGTCCTTTCCATAAGTCTATGTGGAAAAAACAATTCCTTTCTTTCTATAGCTAGCCTTGAGTTCAGAAAATCAGACATGGCCATGGCCTCCACCCCTGCCAAGGATCTGTTCCTGGGTGCATCAGCTTTCGCCGCCTGCAACAAGCTCCACACAACTTGCCGAGTGGGTTTCAGTTTCTGCCCCGATCTCCCTCGGAAAGATTCGCACTTCCCTGAACCACATGTGCTCAAGACCTGCGATTAAATATTCCACATGATGCACAAACCACCGCATCACCGCATTGACTCAAGAGTTTTAGTGGAGCGATTTGCATCAAGTCAACAGCCACGGCAAACTGTTTCCACAGCATGAGGCGAAAAATCTGGGGAAAATCTATTGACAGCATCATGCTCGTCGTTGTTATTAGCTTGCTTCCGTCTTCGCAACTAATATCACTGTCGTCATCATCTGCAGCAGCAGCACCAATATGTTTGACCTTTTTCCCATCGTCAACTCTATCATCTCCGTCGCCACACATCCAGGCAGCACTTGCACTTCAGGACGCATGGTTTTTCCATTCTCTCAACATCTTGGGCCTGCAACTTTGGGCTTCACAGCCTTCCCTTCATTCTCCTCTTCTTCTCCTCCCTCATCCTTAACGCCAGAGCCCTTTTGAGAGAGTGCTCTAGCTCTGCCTGCGAGTGGTCCTGAGGCGTCACTCTGAATGTCCGCCTGACACCCCGAACACTGATTTCAGCCCGCCACCACTCAGCCTAGATCCAAATCACTCAAGATCGCGAGGATTTGGCTTGCTGAGGTACCTTTCTTGACCAGCTCTGCGCGGAAGGCGAAGGCGGCCTCGAGAGCTGCTGCATCGGCCTGGGCCTCGGTGATGCCTGGGCCCATGAACTTTTTCAGGGCAAAGCATTGGTGTGTTCTGTAGACCGCTTTTCTTTTTGAATCAAGCTTGGGGAATGTGACCTTCCAAGCCATGGCAGTCCTGCACCAGTTCACACCGGGAGCGCCGCTTTGCTTTGCCACATTGTCCCTTCTGACCCGATACGGCGCCTGCTCTGCGGGAGGTGGCGGGGGATGCTCTGCAGCTACCTCTTCCACTGGGGTTTCTTTGGCCTTTTGGTCTGAAGGTTTTGCCTCCTCTGCTGCAACAAAGATTCCGAGACTTCCATGGCTTGCATGGCATGGGGTCCGCCTGCAGATGCCAGGGCAATGCGGTGTTCCATCTCCCTAAGGTCGCTCCTCAACTCAAACCAAAGTAACTGAGACCAAAGTGCATCCAACTCCATCTGTCCCTTCACACCGTCGGCAAGCGCCAGGCGCCGGCGCTTGGCAGCACGTGATGCCTCCAAAGAGTCCATTGCTCTTGCGGACAGCTTTCTGGACACGCGTGGGCTTCTTTGAACACGCAGCGCCATGGAAGCGGGAAGACATGCTGTTTACTGTGTTCACGATCTACAGTATATAAAAGTGCCACTACACTGCGACACCTTGTATCAAAGGTATCAACTTTATCATCCTTTATCGTCTCCGTCACCATGTGGTTCCAAGCAGCACTTGCAACATCTTGGGCCTGCAAGACCTCGTTGATGTCGGTGCTGTCGGAAGCAAGAAACCTCTCCTTGTCATTGTCAGCATGTTGCAACAGGTTTGGAGCTGTTCTTCATTGAATATTGGAGCGGGTCTTGTTGGCATCCATTGGCATCCTATTGATCCACTGCATGATATTACTTTATCATACTTTATCTACCTCCCCATCGGTGTTTCGTGAAAGATCGTGAAAAAGGGTCATGGATTCATGGGTTGTCCATGATCAAAGTGTTTGCTGAGCTGCGACCTTCTTCATGGCACCCTTGGCAATTGCCGCTGATGGCCCTTGTATCTGCAGCTTGGAGCCATGCAGGGTCAAATCGCAGCCTGCATCGACGTCCAAAAAATAGTGTTGGGAGACCTTGAAGAAGTATGGTTGGTATGGTAGTTGGTGGCCACAACAAGTCACTATCCATCTTCCTTAGAAGACTACCACACTGTGGCCACACTGTCCCGAGAAGGGACTCCATTTTTGCACATGCACCGAATCCTTTCTTTCCTGCACTTCCAAGCAGTCCCGCATGGTCTAAATCAGCTTCAGAACAGCTAAATGGCAGTGTGTCAAAACCTTGTACCCCTGGTGAACCCCAAAATTTCTGGTAAATGGATGTTCATTCCCCTAAAAATGGTATTTTTATAGGTATTGATCCATAGCCAAATGAGTGTCAGGTTCATCAATGCATGGCACCTGTGGATATACCAATGACCTGCAGTGGAGTCTGCCCGGAACCCTTCGAGTCAGTCAGCTTTCTGGGTGTGGAGACCTGACAACTGAAACAGCGCCTGGAAACCCGTCAGAGACCCTCGGTTTGGAGCTGGAAATATGTTGGATTTCAATGTGGAGAGATGATCAACATCACATCATATATATATTATATATATATTATATATTATATATATTATATATATATTATATATATATATTGATCAACGTTTTCGTAAAAGCGTATTCGAAGACATGATTTAGGGTGACAAAGCGATGCCCTTCATTCTGCCTCCTGTGATTGCAAAGAACACAATGACAGCCTCCTTTGCTCAACACCAATCACATCAAGCAGTTTCCAAGGCTGAAAAAACCTAATACCGATACCCAGAAATTCGGATTGTTCAGTCCAGTGTCGAGAAAATGTCATGGTAATTTCGCTGCGGCTAAAACTCTCACCTGCTGAAAGAGCTCCACCACCGACAAAGCATGAAAGTCACCTACAGCAGCTCTGAGCACCAGCTGTGCACAGTGGCTGAGTTGTCCATGCGGACCCCGAATGACCACCTCCAGGCGCTCTGCACATCTTGCGACACCATTTTGGGGAAACGGGGAAACTGAAAACGACCAGAGACTGTCAGTCGTACACTTTTGGCTGGTAGCCCAACGTCTTGCTAGTGGATGACCGATGTGGCAACAACAATATCTTCAGGCAAGGCGCTTGTGCTCCGTCTTCTAGATGCCTTGCGCAGGGGTCTCACTTGCAGCCCGCAAAGAGTCTTGTGCTAGTAGCCCAACAAAAGCATCTGGATGATTCATGATGATGGATGATGAATGGACAGAAAGAAACGCAGGTTTTGAGAAGCTATTTCTTGATTCTATAACTTCTACGATTCCATTCTCTCCAGCTGGCTATGCTCAATAGTGCACAGGCTGTCTTCTCGGACAAGATTCTCTAACTTGCAGGAATATACTCCTGACGCCAAGTCGCTGGAACTTTGACAAACAATGGACATGTCAAAATGTTCCAGGATCGGATAGGTTGGGCAACAAACACAGCGTCAGCAGAAGTCCTGTCACTTCGGTGATCTTTTTCAAGGCATGCTGCAACAATCCGCCGCGCAACGGCACAGCCACAACCCTCCGCTCCGCATCCTGCAGAGCTCAGCCAAAAACCCAGATCCAAAGGGATCCAAAGGGCGTCCAAGAATCCTCCATTGCCAAGGTTATTCCAGATTTCCGAATTTCCAAAAAACGAAATTCACTGCTGTGCTAACAAAGAACACAAGCCTACCTTTCCTGGCTCTCCGTTTTTGGCGCCAGGACTTCCGACCGGGAACAGCACTCAAAACATTCGGTACCCCACTAGTTTCATGGCAACACTGTCAACACTGTCACACCATAAGGCCCACTGATGATCACTGGTCTATGGCCACTGAATGTGCAGTTTCTCCAATGCTGTCATATCTGGGAAAACAAAATGCTGCCCATCAAACCCCAAAAGTTTTGGCCCATTTGGGCCCACTGGCTCGACCCCTCCACTGTCATGGCTCCTCACAAGTCCCCATGTTGTGACATGGCCGCCGATTCGCATGCTGCAGCGATCAACCCCCAAACTTACATCCAAGAAATGGTTCTGGGTCGAATTTATGGGGTACGCCGGTATGCCTCAAAATGACCTGTGACCATCCACATACATTCAAATGATGACTTTGATCGTCCGCATCAGGTTAGTATGTTGTAGTTGTCTGATGTAGACAAATCTGCAGTGCTGACCAACTAATCTTTGAGCAGCTAATCATCTGAATGAAAAACGTGGCGTGGTGCACCTGCTGAATCCACGTGTTTCAGGTGAAATGCATCAAAATCTTGGAGCCAGCCAGGGCACAACGAGGCATCCAATCAAATCTTTGCAGAATGATTACCCTCTGGTGATCTCCATTGATAATTTCCCAATGCCATCTTCGATTTGATTGCAATTTTTGCCTGTACTTTGCATGTGGCCACCGGAAACAGCACCCCTCAAATCATTCTGGTTAAATCCCAGCATGCCCTTGAAACCATGGGTTTTTTGGTACTTTGTGATCAGAAGGTCAGTAGAAAACTGAAGCAGCCACAATTCTTGACTGCCAGTCTCAACAAATCAGCCAAAAACATCAACAATCCAGCCTGTTTTTGTCAGCCCGCAGGTATACGATAGGCAGCCTTGTGGCGAACCATTGATACTGTGGTGTCTTACCTTGCTACAATGGAAGGCTTTTGACCACTGAACTTAACAATTTTCCCAGTGTCTAGAGTTTGGCAAGAGCATGCAAAGTAAAGTCAAATTCGAAGAATCAAAATGATTTCGTCACCATCTCTGATCTCAAAGCTGCTTCAACATCTTCAGATACATGCTGCGACTGGCGAGTCAGGAGATGAAGGCTGGCATTGGAACTGTCTGTGCCAGAGATTGCCTCAGGCTGCGTAGCCTCAGGCTCAGGTGCGCCCCCAACGATCAGCAACTTGGTGGACAAAGGCTTCAGATCCCCATAGAGTCGCGAAGCCACCTGCCTGCTGCGAATGCACAAATCCACCTCCGAGCTTTGGGCTGGGATGAAGGGTAGTGCCACCTCCAAGAAGACAGCTTTGATCACTTGCAAATAGGCACCCTCATCAATACCAGCCGGACAAACAACATTCTCTTGCAGACTCCCTCCATGTCGTCTTGGAAGTTGAAAACGTTCATCGGCAAGCACTGGCAAAAGCTGACAACTTGGCACAACACGGGCTTGCAACAACCATCTCGCTATGTGGTTCGATCGGAAGCAATCCTGACTGCACACCAGAATGAGACGAGTGTCCGTCCTGCGAAAGGCAACACATGCAAAAGCCTATCAAAATCTGTTCAGTCCACAGAAAACATGACCAGAACTGGACGAAACAGTGCGTTACACTGTTGACACCATGTTGAACATGCTACTCGGCTACTCTTTGTGACATCATTGAAGTAACATCACAAAGATTCGAAAACCAATGAGATTGAGAGTCGAGAGGTTCTTTTCTGGAAGTAACTTGCAATGCTGGTTGGTATGACAATGATACAACTGGACGTCAAGCTCGGTATGTCCTGGAAACATTGCTGTCAGCAGTGAACACACGCGTCGCCTGACCTCGCTCTGGAATCAATCGTGTCAAGAATGTTCCCATCACTTCAGCGGTGGCCATTGCTTCCATGTTTCCAGGGTCTGCCAGAATGGCATACTCCGTTGTATGGCCTTGCTGAAATTCCTGTGTGACCGTGTTTGTCAACTGGCCAACGGTAGCTACTACACCCTCCTTAGAGAACTGAGAAGCAATTGGGTAGTTGGTCACCGTACTCAACCACCGCAAGGTGTCGTGCACTTCTGAAAGCCCAAGACCATACATGGAAAGCTCCTTAATCTCAGGCACAAGTCTGGCATAGTTCCGAACGAAGGACTCATCCGGTAGATCAAAGTCTGGAAAGCTTAACACCACCGTGTCAACATTTGCAATACGAGCCATCACCAGTTCTCCCATGCACCACTTGCGCTTTAGCACTGACGGCGTTCCAAGGAGAACAAAGGTCTGCGTATCAGAACTGACATAGGAAAACAGCCGCGTGAGATCCGTCAGGTGGTCAGAGTCAAGGAAGGCCGTGAACTGTGAGCCTCGTTGTCGCAGCTCCATTCTCAACAACCGCGCATATGCAGCGGAAGCAGTTCTATGATGAGAGAGAAAGAAGGCGAACTTCTTGCGAAACTTGGAAGCAATGTGCTGAAGTATCGAGTACAACGCTCCCATGATAAGTGCACAAATGATCAAGCTACCACACACAGTGCATAGGACCATGAGAGGCTTCGGGTCTGAATCATTCACAGTAAGTGCACCCATGAGCAAAACACTCAGCAAGGCGGAGCTGACGAGTACATCGACCACACTCGCAAGGTCCGATCGCCATGGTTTAAAGTATGCAACTGACACAGCCGTCAGGGCCAAGAGATTTCCCATCACGAACAGACTGATTGATGAATGCATCATAGGCGTCAACACAAAGAGCACATTTCTGAGCAAGAAAGCCAATGTGAATGACTCATATCCTGGTTTGAATCTCAAGACCAAGAACGAGCAGGCCCGGATAAAGGCTGCGTTGGCGACTCGAACCCGTCTTGGAAGAATCACCCACAGAAGATACGTGCACATAACAAGGAAACTGACTGGAAGCAAGCAAATCAAGCTGCTCATCCAACATAGAGTCAAGTGAGTGCCTGAGAAATTGCAAAAGACATCGTGGGCCGTTTGCATGGTCAGCGAGTCGTTTGGATGCACATTGCACCGAAAAGGGTCCACAAACGATGAGCATAACGAAATGTAGAAGAGCAGGAAGAGGAAACCAAACCTGTGGATTCATCCAGCTTGCAATTTATGTGGGGCAAGTCGGGCAAGTCATGTGGGTGTTGGGTTACTATCCTTCACAGGTGGATAGATTTCAATCTTACATGCTGCTATAAGTTGCATATAACTGTGGAAGGAAGTTTTGTTAGCAGACTTCCAAGTTACGGACAAATGCCGATGGGGAGGTTTCACCTCACCAAGTCAACCACAGTGGCAGCAACAGTTGGGAAGTTGATGAGACTGTAGCCAGACTGGAGGTGGCTAAACACATTGTCACCACTGCGCGCGGGATAGTGATCTGCTGATGGTGCGACCTTCCTGCTATGGGACTGCAGTTTGAGGTTGCCGAAGGCAAACGCATGGTAACAGCAGTGCAGACAGAGGAGAGGTTGAGATATGTTGCAAGTGCGTTGCAGCAGCTGTGAAAAGAGAAACATTGAGCTGCATAAGAGCTCAGCGAAGAAGTAGCCAGAGAAGACACGGGCCAGAAAACAAGTAGTTCAGGGAAGAGGTTGAGGCAAAGTGAATAGTTTGGAGAAGAACTTAATGGATTCATTCCATCATTCCTTCATGTTCGTGTCATTTCATATTGTCATTTGATTGCACGTCAGGTCATGTCATCTCATTTCAGTTTGTTTAATTCCTTGGTTTCATTGATTTCAGTAGGCTAATTCGTTCAAGTCATTCAATTCATGCCATTCGTTCATTCCATTCATGCCATTCATTCATTCCATTAGGTTCATTCCATTAGGTTCATTCCATTCATGCCAGTCCATTCCATGCACTCATGCAATTTCATTCCATTCCATTCCATGCATTTAATCAATTCCATTCCCTTCCCTTGCATTGCATTGCATATCATTGCATTACGTTCCATTCCATTCGATGCCGTTCATTCCTGCATGCATGCATACATGCATGCATGCATCTCACTCGGTCGACTCATTCAATCAGTCATTGATTCAAAAGATTCTCCTATAATAGCCCATGCTCTTTCTCCGAAACTTCCGCCCCATGGTGGCTTGGAACTACCTAGTAATTTGTATGTGTGCAGAAACTGCAAACCATTTAGCAAGATTGTATCTATATTATATGTATACACATACATACGCACATACATACATATTGCATATTACATGTATACATATATATATATATACATATATATAGATATAGATATGCACATACCAGGCAGTGCCCGGCACGCGCCGGGGCGAAAGTTTCAAACATAAGACATGTCTATAGGAAACATTTTGTTTATAGGAACTGTTGGTGGGCTGCAAAAAAGTGAACTGGTGAAATGAAATGACGGAACGAAAAATAAAACGCATGAAAGAATGAGTAAATCAATGGAATGACAGGAACAAGTGAAGGAATGCATGAATGCGTGAACAAAGGAAGGAAGGAAGGAAGGAATGAATGAATGGAATGAATGGAATGAATGGAATGAATGGAATGAATGGAATGAAAGGAATGAATGGAAGTAATGGAATGAATGAAATGAATGGAAGTAATGGAATGAATGGAATGAATGGAATTGGAATGAATGGAATTAATGGAATGAATGAAATGAATGGAATGAATGGAATGAATGGAATGAATGGAATGAATGGAATGAATGGAATGAATGGAATGAATGGAATGAATGGAATGAATGGAATGAATGGAATGGATGGAATGGATGGAATGGATGGAAGGGATGGAAGGGATGGAATGGAAGGAACGGAAGGAACGGATGGAATGGATGGAATGGATGGAATGGATGGAATGGATGGAATGGATGGAATGGATGGAATGGATGGAATGGATGGAATGGATGGAATGGATGGAATGGATGGAATGGATGGAATAGATGGATGGATGGATGGATGGATGGATGAATGAATGGATGGATGAATGAATGAATGAATGAACGAACGAACGAACGAATGAATGAATGGATGAATGGATGGATGGAAAGGAAATGAAATGAAATGAAAATGAAATGAAATGAAAATGAAATGAAATGAAATGAAGTAAAATAAAATGAAAATGAATGAATGAATGAATGAGTGAATGAATGAATGGATGAATGAATGAATGAATACATGGATGGATGGATGAATGAACAAATGAATGAATGAATGAATGAATGAATGAATGAATGAATGAATGAATGAATGAATGAATGAATGAATGAATGAATGAATGAATGAATGAATGAATGAATGAATGAATGAATGAATGAATGAGCGAACGAATCAATGAATGCAAGAATGAAAGAATGCATGAAGGAATGAACGAATGAACGAATGAACGAATGAACGAATAAACGAATGAACGAATAAACGAATCAACGAATCAACCAAGCAACGAATGAACCAATGAACCAATGAACCAATGAACCAATGAACCAATGAACCAATGAACCAATGAACCAATGAACCAATGAACCAATGAACCAATGAACCAATGAACCAATGAACCAATGAACCAATGAACCAATGAACCAATGAACGAATGAACGAATGAACGAATGAATGAATGAATGAAGGAAGGAAGGAATGAAGGAATGAAGGAATGAAGGAATGAAGGAATGAAGGAATGAAGGAATGAAGAAATGAAGGAATGAATGAACGAATGAATGAACGAATGAATGAACGAATGAATGAACGAATGAATGAATGAAATGAAATGAAATGAAATGAAATGAATGAAATGAAATGAAATGAAATGAAATGAATGAATTGAAATGAATGCAATGGATGAAATGAATGAAATGAATGAAATGAATGAAATGAATGAAATGAATGAAATGAATGAAATGAATGAAATGTATGAATTGAATGAATTGAATGAATTGAATGAATTGAATGAATTGAATGAATTGAATGAATGGAATGAAATGAATGAATTGAATGAATTGAATGAATTGAATGAATTGAATGAATTGAATGAATTGAATGAATTGAATGAAATGAATGAAATGAAATGAATGAATTGAATGAATTGAATGAAATGAGTGAATTGAATGAAATGAGTGAAATGAACGAAATCAAATGAAATGAAATGAAATGAAATGAAATGAATGAATGAGTGAATTTATGCAGGACTGAAGGAATGAAGAAATGAATGAAGGAATGAAGGGTTGAAGGAAGGAAGGAAGGAAGAAAGGAATGAAGGAATGGAGGAATGAAAGATTAAAGGAATGAAGGAATGAATGAAAGAATGAAAGAATGGATGGGTGGATGGATGAATGGATGAATGGATGAAGGGATGAAGGAATGAAGGAATGAAGGAACGAAGGAACAAAGACGGAAGGAATCAAGGAATCAAGGAATGAAGGGACCAAGGAATCAAGGAATCAAGGAATGATGGAATCAAGGAATGAAGGAAGGAATGAATGAATGAATGAAGGAATGAAGGAATGAAGGAATCAAGGAAAAAGGAAGGAAGGAAGGAAGGCAGGAAGGAATGAATGAATGGAGTGAAAGGAACGAAGAAACGAATGAAAGGAATGAACGAAAGGATGCATGAAGGAAATGAAATGAAAATGAAAAAATGAAAATGACAATAACATGAATGAAAGAATGAATGCATGAATCCAAGAATGCATCAATGCATGAATGAATGAATGAATGAATGAATGAATGAAAGAATGAATGAATGAATGAATGAACGAATGAATGAACGAAGGAATGAAGGAATGAAGGAATGAAGGAATGAAGTTTGAAGGAATGAAGGAATGAAGGCATGAAGGCATGAAGGAAAGAAGGAAAGAAGGAATGAAGGATTGAACGAATGAACGAAGGAACGAAGGAACCAATAAACCAATGAACCAATGAACCAATGAAAAGTACGTACGCAAAGTTTAAAGTTTCGACTCAAGACTTCTTCTCTGCAGTGCGTTTCACTAGATTCACTACGTACATGTCACTATATACCATAACATATGCAGTACATTTGCACGCAGGCTCGGGCCGTAGTTTTTTTGTCCATTTTGCACACGGCTAGTGTCTACAAGAACTCACAAGTCAACATGGCATGCGAAAAAGGGATGTGGTCCATGACATGTCCTTGGATTTCTGGCGCATAGCCGCTCTAAAATGCTGGGGCCCTGGTCCATGTGCATACTTGATATGCACGTCATATCTGATATTCGTGTTTGAACTTGTACAGCTTTACGTCTTCTTTTCCAAGCGTTACTCCAACCAAATGCTTGCTCTGTCCATGATTTGTCGTTTGAACTTCTAGTTGCACCCAAATTTTACCAGTTTGAGCTACCAGTTTGAGCCAGTCTGCTCCTCTCGCAGAAAGAACTTTTGTTGAAATTATATAGATGTTGCTGCTCTTCTTCTCTCTGGCTCTTGTCTATGTACTGTACCTTCCAGTTGTCGCTCTGAAAACGGGAAGCCAAAAATTATCAGACGCAGATCAAGAGCCCCAAAGCCAATTCCAGAAACAGAAGTGGGTGGCCCAACATGGCCACAATGCCAAAAAAAAGACCTTCGCTGAAGTCCAATCAGGTGGTGAAAGTAGATATTCCAAACAACTAGCTCACCGCTCAGGAGTTTTTGGTTTCACTCATAAAATTGACCACTAGGCCAATGCCGGAATCCTCTGTGGCAAAGCAAGCGCTTGATGCCAGTGCAGAGTGATCTCCTCTAATCAAACAGCAACAGAAAATCGCCCATTTCTAGATGAAAACTTCCATTTCCAGGTGATTTCCCATGGCCATCTTTGATCAGCGGGAAACAGCAGCCACTCAGGGCAGCACGTTCCTCACGTTCTGCATCCTTTTTGGAGGGTCTCGACTGTCTCCGTAAAGCTGCAGCTCGGGTCTGGATGTCCTAAGCAGATCGGTTGAATAGGGGATATTCACAATCAATGGGATATTGATGGGATAATCAATGGGATGATAATAGGACATTAATGGGACATCAATGATATATCATTAAGGGTCATTAATGGGATATAATATATCTCTGACAATGGGAGATAATAGGATATAATGATAATATGATTGTCAATAGGACATTAATGGGATATAATATATCTCTGACAATCAAGCATGACAATAGGAACAATGTGACAAAGACAAAGCGCTTTGAAATGGGCGGTTCCAGATGTTCAAGATGTTCAAACTGCACAGCATTTGAAACGGGCGCATAAACCATGTTCTGCAAACACATGCGCAGAAAAGCAAAGTCCTTTGACGTCAAATGGTAAAGGATATGGCACACCAACAGAAAGGAGTTTCGTATAGCAAATCAAACTGAGAGCAAAAAAGCATGTACGCACCACCTTTCAAACATTCTAAAATCAAACCAGTTTCCTGGCCTAGTCCGTTCTCCGTTGGACAGCTCTACTCATGGGTCTTTCGGAAAGTCTTTCGCTTTGATCAATCCTCCGAAATGCAGCCACGCTGCAGAGACGCTTGAGTTGCCTCAGTTATGAACCACCACCATTTGGCAAGTGTTTTCACGCAAACCATGCGTAGAACCGTAGAACAAAACATGTTGTAGAACAAGACACAAATCAAAATGTGTGCAGAACGAGGCTTTCGAGGGGCATGTGTCAAGAACAAGGAAAATCAGCGATGGATAGACACCTAGAGTCAGTCCATTTCAGCACAGCTGGTCCTTTCCATAAGTCTATGTGGAAAAAACAATTCCTTTCTTTCTATAGCTAGCCTTGAGTTCAGAAATCAGACATGGCCATGGCCTCCACCCCTGCCAAGGATCTGTTCCTGGGTGCATCAGCTTTCGCCGCCTGCAACAAGCTCCACACAACTTGCCGAGTGGGTTTCAGTTTCTGCCCCGATCTCCCTCGGAAAGATTCGCACTTCCCTGAACCACATGTGCTCAAGACCTGCGATTAAATATTCCACATGATGCACAAACCACCGCATCACCGCATTGACTCAAGAGTTTTAGTGGAGCGATTTGCATCAAGTCAACAGCCACGGCAAACTGTTTCCACAGCATGAGGCGAAAAATCTGGGGAAAATCTATTGACAGCATCATGCTCGTCGTTGTTATTAGCTTGCTTCCGTCTTCGCAACTAATATCACTGTCGTCATCATCTGCAGCAGCAGCACCAATATGTTTGACCTTTTTCCCATCGTCAACTCTATCATCTCCGTCGCCACACATCCAGGCAGCACTTGCACTTCAGGACGCATGGTTTTTCCATTCTCTCAACATCTTGGGCCTGCAACTTTGGGCTTCACAGCCTTCCCTTCATTCTCCTCTTCTTCTCCTGCCTCATCCTTAACGCCAGAGCCCTTTTGAGAGAGTGCTCTAGCTCTGCCTGCGAGTGGTCCTGAGGCGTCACTCTGAATGTCCGCCTGACACCCCGAACACTGATTTCAGCCCGCCACCACTCAGCCTAGATCCAAATCACTCAAGATCGCGAGGATTTGGCTTGCTGAGGTACCTTTCTTGACCAGCTCTGCGCGGAAGGCGAAGGCGGCCTCGAGAGCTGCTGCATCGGCCTGGGCCTCGGTGATGCCTGGGCCCATGAACTTTTTCAGGGCAAAGCATTGGTGTGTTCTGTAGACCGCTTTTCTTTTTGAATCAAGCTTGGGGAATGTGACCTTCCAAGCCATGGCAGTCCTGCACCAGTTCACACCGGGAGCGCCGCTTTGCTTTGCCACATTGTCCCTTCTGACCCGATACGGCGCCTGCTCTGCGGGAGGTGGCGGGGGATGCTCTGCAGCTACCTCTTCCACTGGGGTTTCTTTGGCCTTTTGGTCTGAAGGTTTTGCCTCCTCTGCTGCAACAAAGATTCCGAGACTTCCATGGCTTGCATGGCATGGGGTCCGCCTGCAGATGCCAGGGCAATGCGGTGTTCCATCTCCCTAAGGTCGCTCCTCAACTCAAACCAAAGTAACTGAGACCAAAGTGCATCCAACTCCATCTGTCCCTTCACACCGTCGGCAAGCGCCAGGCGCCGGCGCTTGGCAGCACGTGATGCCTCCAAAGAGTCCATTGCTCTTGCGGACAGCTTTCTGGACACGCGTGGGCTTCTTTGAACACGCAGCGCCATGGAAGCGGGAAGACATGCTGTTTACTGTGTTCACGATCTACAGTATATAAAAGTGCCACTACACTGCGACACCTTGTATCAAAGGTATCAACTTTATCATCCTTTATCGTCTCCGTCACCATGTGGTTCCAAGCAGCACTTGCAACATCTTGGGCCTGCAAGACCTCGTTGATGTCGGTGCTGTCGGAAGCAAGAAACCTCTCCTTGTCATTGTCAGCATGTTGCAACAGGTTTGGAGCTGTTCTTCATTGAATATTGGAGCGGGTCTTGTTGGCATCCATTGGCATCCTATTGATCCACTGCATGATATTACTTTATCATACTTTATCTACCTCCCCATCGGTGTTTCGTGAAAGATCGTGAAAAAGGGTCATGGATTCATGGGTTGTCCATGATCAAAGTGTTTGCTGAGCTGCGACCTTCTTCATGGCACCCTTGGCAATTGCCGCTGATGGCCCTTGTATCTGCAGCTTGGAGCCATGCAGGGTCAAATCGCAGCCTGCATCGACGTCCAAAAAATAGTGTTGGGAGACCTTGAAGAAGTATGGTTGGTATGGTAGTTGGTGGCCACAACAAGTCACTATCCATCTTCCTTAGAAGACTACCACACTGTGGCCACACTGTCCCGAGAAGGGACTCCATTTTTGCACATGCACCGAATCCTTTCTTTCCTGCACTTCCAAGCAGTCCCGCATGGTCTAAATCAGCTTCAGAACAGCTAAATGGCAGTGTGTCAAAACCTTGTACCCCTGGTGAACCCCAAAATTTCTGGTAAATGGATGTTCATTCCCCTAAAAATGGTATTTTTATAGGTATTGATCCATAGCCAAATGAGTGTCAGGTTCATCAATGCATGGCACCTGTGGATATACCAATGACCTGCAGTGGAGTCTGCCCGGAACCCTTCGAGTCAGTCAGCTTTCTGGGTGTGGAGACCTGACAACTGAAACAGCGCCTGGAAACCCGTCAGAGACCCTCGGTTTGGAGCTGGAAATATGTTGGATTTCAATGTGGAGAGATGATCAACATCACATCATATATATATTATATATATATTATATATTATATATATTATATATATATTATATATATATATTGATCAACGTTTTCGTAAAAGCGTATTCGAAGACATGATTTAGGGTGACAAAGCGATGCCCTTCATTCTGCCTCCTGTGATTGCAAAGAACACAATGACAGCCTCCTTTGCTCAACACCAATCACATCAAGCAGTTTCCAAGGCTGAAAAAACCTAATACCGATACCCAGAAATTCGGATTGTTCAGTCCAGTGTCGAGAAAATGTCATGGTAATTTCGCTGCGGCTAAAACTCTCACCTGCTGAAAGAGCTCCACCACCGACAAAGCATGAAAGTCACCTACAGCAGCTCTGAGCACCAGCTGTGCACAGTGGCTGAGTTGTCCATGCGGACCCCGAATGACCACCTCCAGGCGCTCTGCACATCTTGCGACACCATTTTGGGGAAACGGGGAAACTGAAAACGACCAGAGACTGTCAGTCGTACACTTTTGGCTGGTAGCCCAACGTCTTGCTAGTGGATGACCGATGTGGCAACAACAATATCTTCAGGCAAGGCGCTTGTGCTCCGTCTTCTAGATGCCTTGCGCAGGGGTCTCACTTGCAGCCCGCAAAGAGTCTTGTGCTAGTAGCCCAACAAAAGCATCTGGATGATTCATGATGATGGATGATGAATGGACAGAAAGAAACGCAGGTTTTGAGAAGCTATTTCTTGATTCTATAACTTCTACGATTCCATTCTCTCCAGCTGGCTATGCTCAATAGTGCACAGGCTGTCTTCTCGGACAAGATTCTCTAACTTGCAGGAATATACTCCTGACGCCAAGTCGCTGGAACTTTGACAAACAATGGACATGTCAAAATGTTCCAGGATCGGATAGGTTGGGCAACAAACACAGCGTCAGCAGAAGTCCTGTCACTTCGGTGATCTTTTTCAAGGCATGCTGCAACAATCCGCCGCGCAACGGCACAGCCACAACCCTCCGCTCCGCATCCTGCAGAGCTCAGCCAAAAACCCAGATCCAAAGGGATCCAAAGGGCGTCCAAGAATCCTCCATTGCCAAGGTTATTCCAGATTTCCGAATTTCCAAAAAACGAAATTCACTGCTGTGCTAACAAAGAACACAAGCCTACCTTTCCTGGCTCTCCGTTTTTGGCGCCAGGACTTCCGACCGGGAACAGCACTCAAAACATTCGGTACCCCACTAGTTTCATGGCAACACTGTCAACACTGTCACACCATAAGGCCCACTGATGATCACTGGTCTATGGCCACTGAATGTGCAGTTTCTCCAATGCTGTCATATCTGGGAAAACAAAATGCTGCCCATCAAACCCCAAAAGTTTTGGCCCATTTGGGCCCACTGGCTCGACCCCTCCACTGTCATGGCTCCTCACAAGTCCCCATGTTGTGACATGGCCGCCGATTCGCATGCTGCAGCGATCAACCCCCAAACTTACATCCAAGAAATGGTTCTGGGTCGAATTTATGGGGTACGCTGGTATGCCTCAAAATGACCTGTGACCATCCACATACATTCAAATGATGACTTTGATCGTCCGCATCAGGTTAGTATGTTGTAGTTGTCTGATGTAGACAAATCTGCAGTGCTGACCAACTAATCTTTGAGCAGCTAATCATCTGAATGAAAAACGTGGCGTGGTGCACCTGCTGAATCCACGTGTTTCAGGTGAAATGCATCAAAATCTTGGAGCCAGCCAGGGCACAACGAGGCATCCAATCAAATCTTTGCAGAATGATTACCCTCTGGTGATCTCCATTGATAATTTCCCAATGCCATCTTCGATTTGATTGCAATTTTTGCCTGTACTTTGCATGTGGCCACCGGAAACAGCACCCCTCAAATCATTCTGGTTAAATCCCAGCATGCCCTTGAAACCATGGGTTTTTTGGTACTTTGTGATCAGAAGGTCAGTAGAAAACTGAAGCAGCCACAATTCTTGACTGCCAGTCTCAACAAATCAGCCAAAAACATCAACAATCCAGCCTGTTTTTGTCAGCCCGCAGGTATACGATAGGCAGCCTTGTGGCGAACCATTGATACTGTGGTGTCTTACCTTGCTACAATGGAAGGCTTTTGACCACTGAACTTAACAATTTTCCCAGTGTCTAGAGTTTGGCAAGAGCATGCAAAGTAAAGTCAAATTCGAAGAATCAAAATGATTTCGTCACCATCTCTGATCTCAAAGCTGCTTCAACATCTTCAGATACATGCTGCGACTGGCGAGTCAGGAGATGAAGGCTGGCATTGGAACTGTCTGTGCCAGAGATTGCCTCAGGCTGCGTAGCCTCAGGCTCAGGTGCGCCCCCAACGATCAGCAACTTGGTGGACAAAGGCTTCAGATCCCCATAGAGTCGCGAAGCCACCTGCCTGCTGCGAATGCACAAATCCACCTCCGAGCTTTGGGCTGGGATGAAGGGTAGTGCCACCTCCAAGAAGACAGCTTTGATCACTTGCAAATAGGCACCCTCATCAATACCAGCCGGACAAACAACATTCTCTTGCAGACTCCCTCCATGTCGTCTTGGAAGTTGAAAACGTTCATCGGCAAGCACTGGCAAAAGCTGACAACTTGGCACAACACGGGCTTGCAACAACCATCTCGCTATGTGGTTCGATCGGAAGCAATCCTGACTGCACACCAGAATGAGACGAGTGTCCGTCCTGCGAAAGGCAACACATGCAAAAGCCTATCAAAATCTGTTCAGTCCACAGAAAACATGACCAGAACTGGACGAAACAGTGCGTTACACTGTTGACACCATGTTGAACATGCTACTCGGCTACTCTTTGTGACATCATTGAAGTAACATCACAAAGATTCGAAAACCAATGGGATTGAGAGTCGAGAGGTTCTTTTCTGGAAGTAACTTGCAATGCTGGTTGGTATGACAATGATACAACTGGACGTCAAGCTCGGTATGTCCTGGAAACATTGCTGTCAGCAGTGAACACACGCGTCGCCTGACCTCGCTCTGGAATCAATCGTGTCAAGAATGTTCCCATCACTTCAGCGGTGGCCATTGCTTCCATGTTTCCAGGGTCTGCCAGAATGGCATACTCCGTTGTATGGCCTTGCTGAAATTCCTGTGTGACCGTGTTTGTCAACTGGCCAACGGTAGCTACTACACCCTCCTTAGAGAACTGAGAAGCAATTGGGTAGTTGGTCACCGTACTCAACCACCGCAAGGTGTCGTGCACTTCTGAAAGCCCAAGACCATACATGGAAAGCTCCTTAATCTCAGGCACAAGTCTGGCATAGTTCCGAACGAAGGACTCATCCGGTAGATCAAAGTCTGGAAAGCTTAACACCACCGTGTCAACATTTGCAATACGAGCCATCACCAGTTCTCCCATGCACCACTTGCGCTTTAGCACTGACGGCGTTCCAAGGAGAACAAAGGTCTGCGTATCAGAACTGACATAGGAAAACAGCCGCGTGAGATCCGTCAGGTGGTCAGAGTCAAGGAAGGCCGTGAACTGTGAGCCTCGTTGTCGCAGCTCCATTCTCAACAACCGCGCATATGCAGCGGAAGCAGTTCTATGATGAGAGAGAAAGAAGGCGAACTTCTTGCGAAACTTGGAAGCAATGTGCTGAAGTATCGAGTACAACGCTCCCATGATAAGTGCACAAATGATCAAGCTACCACACACAGTGCATAGGACCATGAGAGGCTTCGGGTCTGAATCATTCACAGTAAGTGCACCCATGAGCAAAACACTCAGCAAGGCGGAGCTGACGAGTACATCGACCACACTCGCAAGGTCCGATCGCCATGGTTTAAAGTATGCAACTGACACAGCCGTCAGGGCCAAGAGATTTCCCATCACGAACAGACTGATTGATGAATGCATCATAGGCGTCAACACAAAGAGCACATTTCTGAGCAAGAAAGCCAATGTGAATGACTCATATCCTGGTTTGAATCTCAAGACCAAGAACGAGCAGGCCCGGATAAAGGCTGCGTTGGCGACTCGAACCCGTCTTGGAAGAATCACCCACAGAAGATACGTGCACATAACAAGGAAACTGACTGGAAGCAAGCAAATCAAGCTGCTCATCCAACATAGAGTCAAGTGAGTGCCTGAGAAATTGCAAAAGACATCGTGGGCCGTTTGCATGGTCAGCGAGTCGTTTGGATGCACATTGCACCGAAAAGGGTCCACAAACGATGAGCATAACGAAATGTAGAAGAGCAGGAAGAGGAAACCAAACCTGTGGATTCATCCAGCTTGCAATTTATGTGGGGCAAGTCGGGCAAGTCATGTGGGTGTTGGGTTACTATCCTTCACAGGTGGATAGATTTCAATCTTACATGCTGCTATAAGTTGCATATAACTGTGGAAGGAAGTTTTGTTAGCAGACTTCCAAGTTACGGACAAATGCCGATGGGGAGGTTTCACCTCACCAAGTCAACCACAGTGGCAGCAACAGTTGGGAAGTTGATGAGACTGTAGCCAGACTGGAGGTGGCTAAACACATTGTCACCACTGCGCGCGGGATAGTGATCTGCTGATGGTGCGACCTTCCTGCTATGGGACTGCAGTTTGAGGTTGCCGAAGGCAAACGCATGGTAACAGCAGTGCAGACAGAGGAGAGGTTGAGATATGTTGCAAGTGCGTTGCAGCAGCTGTGAAAAGAGAAACATTGAGCTGCATAAGAGCTCAGCGAAGAAGTAGCCAGAGAAGACACGGGCCAGAAAACAAGTAGTTCAGGGAAGAGGTTGAGGCAAAGTGAATAGTTTGGAGAAGAACTTAATGGATTCATTCCATCATTCCTTCATGTTCGTGTCATTTCATATTGTCATTTGATTGCACGTCAGGTCATGTCATCTCATTTCAGTTTGTTTAATTCCTTGGTTTCATTGATTTCAGTAGGCTAATTCGTTCAAGTCATTCAATTCATGCCATTCGTTCATTCCATTCATGCCATTCATTCATTCCATTAGGTTCATTCCATTAGGTTCATTCCATTCATGCCAGTCCATTCCATGCACTCATGCAATTTCATTCCATTCCATTCCATGCATTTAATCAATTCCATTCCCTTCCCTTGCATTGCATTGCATATCATTGCATTACGTTCCATTCCATTCGATGCCGTTCATTCCTGCATGCATGCATACATGCATGCATGCATCTCACTCGGTCGACTCATTCAATCAGTCATTGATTCAAAAGATTCTCCTATAATAGCCCATGCTCTTTCTCCGAAACTTCCGCCCCATGGTGGCTTGGAACTACCTAGTAATTTGTATGTGTGCAGAAACTGCAAACCATTTAGCAAGATTGTATCTATATTATATGTATACACATACATACGCACATACATACATATTGCATATTACATGTATACATATATATATACATATATATAGATATAGATATGCACATACCAGGCAGTGCCCGGCACGCGCCGGGGCGAAAGTTTCAAACATAAGACATGTCTATAGGAAACATTTTGTTTATAGGAACTGTTGGTGGGCTGCAAAAAAGTGAACTGGTGAAATGAAATGACGGAACGAAAAATAAAACGCATGAAAGAATGAGTAAATCAATGGAATGACAGGAACAAGTGAAGGAATGCATGAATGCGTGAACAAAGGAAGGAAGGAAGGAAGGAATGAATGAATGGAATGAATGGAATGAATGGAATGAATGGAATGAATGGAATGAAAGGAATGAATGGAAGTAATGGAATGAATGAAATGAATGGAAGTAATGGAATGAATGGAATGAATGGAATTGGAATGAATGGAATTAATGGAATGAATGAAATGAATGGAATGAATGGAATGAATGGAATGAATGGAATGAATGGAATGAATGGAATGAATGGAATGAATGGAGTGAATGGAATGAATGGAATGAATGGAATGGATGGAATGGATGGAATGGATGGAAGGGATGGAAGGGATGGAATGGAAGGAACGGAAGGAACGGATGGAATGGATGGAATGGATGGAATGGATGGAATGGATGGAATGGATGGAATGGATGGAATGGATGGAATGGATGGAATGGATGGAATAGATGGATGGATGGATGGATGGATGGATGAATGAATGAATGAATGAATGAACGAAGGAACGAACGAATGAATGAATGGATGAATGGATGGATGGAAAGGAAATGAAATGAAATGAAAATGAAATGAAATGAAAATGAAATGAAATGAAAATGAAATGAAATGAAATGAAGTAAAATAAAATGAAAATGAATGAATGAATGAATGAATGAATGAGTGAGTGAATGAATGAATGGATGAATGAATGAATGAATGAATACATGGATGGATGGATGAATGAACAAATGAATGAATGAATGAATGAATGAATGAGCGAACGAATCAATGAATGCAAGAATGAAAGAATGCATGAAGGAATGAAGGAATGAACGAATGAACGAATGAACGAATAAACGAATGAACGAATAAACGAATCAACCAAGCAACGAATGAACCAATGAACCAATGAACCAATGAACCAATGAACCAATGAACCAATGAACCAATGAACCAATGAACCAATGAACCAATGAACCAATGAACCAATGAACCAATGAACGAATGAACGAATGAACGAATGAACGAATGAATGAATGAATGAATGAAGGAAGGAAGGAAGGAAGGAAGGAAGGAAGGAATGAAGGAATGAAGGAATGAAGGAATGAAGGAATGAAGGAATGAAGGAATGAAGAAATGAAGGAATGAATGAACGAATGAATGAACGAATGAATGAACGAATGAATGAACGAATGAATGAATGAAATGAAATGAAATGAAATGAAATGAAAATGAAATGAAATGAAATGAATGAAATGAAATGAAATGAAATGAAAATGAAATGAAATGAAATGAAAATGAAATGAAATGAATGAATTGAAATGAATGCAATGGATGAAATGAATGAAATGAATGAAATGAATGAAATGAATGAAATGAATGAAATGTATGAATTGAATGAAATGTATGAATTGAATGAATTGAATGAATTGAATGAATTGAATGAATTGAATGAATTGAATGAATTGAATGAAATGAATGAATTGAATGAATTGAATGAATTGAATGAATTGAATGAATTGAATGAATTGAATGAAATGAATGAAATGAATGAAATGAATGAATTGAATGAATTGAATGAAATGAGTGAATTGAATGAAATGAGTGAAATGAATGAAATCAAATGAAATCAAATGAAATGAAATGAAATGAAATGAATGAATGAATGAATGAGTGAATTTATGCAGGACTGAAGGAATGAAGAAATGAATGAAGGAATGAAGGGTTGAAGGAAGGAAGGAAGGAAGGAAGAAAGGAATGAAGGAATGGAGGAATGAAAGATTAAAGGAATGAAGGAATGAATGAAAGAATGAAAGAATGGATGGGTGGATGGATGAATGGATGAATGGATGAAGGGATGAAGGAATGAAGGAATGAAGGAACGAAGGAACAAAGACGGAAGGAATCAAGGAATGAAGGGACCAAGGAATCAAGGAATCAAGGAATGATGGAATCAAGGAATGAAGGAAGGAATGAATGAATGAATGAAGGAATGAAGGAATGAAGGAATCAAGGAAAAAAGGAAGGAAGGAAGGCAGGAAGGAATGAATGAATGGAGTGAAAGGAACGAAGAAACGAATGAAAGGAATGAACGAAAGGATGCATGAAGGAAATGAAATGAAAATGAAAAAATGAAAATGACAATAACATGAATGAAAGAATGAATGCATGAATCCAAGAATGCATCAATGCATGAATGAATGAATGAATGAATGAAAGAATGAATGAATGAATGAATGAATGAACGAATGAATGAACGAAGGAATGAAGGAATGAAGGAATGAAGGAATGAAGGAATGAAGTTTGAAGGAATGAAGGAATGAAGGCATGAAGGCATGAAGGAAAGAAGGAAAGAAGGAATGAAGGATTGAACGAATGAACGAAGGAACGAAGGAACCAATAAACCAATGAACCAATGAACCAATGAACCAATGAACCAATGAACCAATGAACCAATGAACCAATGAACCAATGAACCATTGAACCAATGAACCAATGAACCAATGAACCAATGAACCAATGAACGAACCAACGAACCAACGAACGAATGAACGAATGAACGAATGAACGAATGAACGAATGAACAAATGAACGAATGAACGAATGAACGAACGAACGAAGGAACAAAGGAACGAATGAACGAATGAACGAATGAACGAATGAACGAATGAACGAATGAACGAATGAACGAATCAACGAATGAACGAATGAACGAATGAATGAATGAATGAATGACTGAATGAATGAATGAATGCACGAACGAACGAACGAACGAATGAATGAATGAATGAGTGAAGGAAGGAATGAATGAATGAATGAAAGAATGAATGAATGAAGGAATGCAGGAATGAAGGAATAAAAAAAAAAACGAAGAAACCAACGAACGAAGGAACGAAGGAACCAAGGAACGAAGGAACGAAGGAACGAAGGAACGAATGAAGGAAGGAACGAACGAACGAGCGAATGAAGGAAGGAACGAGCGAACGAACGAAGGAAGGAAGGAATGAATGATTGAAATCGAGCTCTCGCTACGGTCTCGTGCGCCTTTTGCCGACCTTATCTAGCAAAAATGTGAAACCGAGCTCTCGGTACAGTCTCGTGCACATTTTGTCGGCCTCATCTTCCAAAAGGGCTCCGCGCCCCTCATTTTTGTTACGATTTTGTGTGATCAACTACATGATGATGATGTGGTTGACATATGAAATCGCACTTTCGCTACAGTCTCGTGCCATTTTATGTGAGATTGAGCTCTGGCTACGGTCTCGTGCACATTTTGTCGACCTCATCTTCCAAAGGTGCTCCGCGCCCCTCAGCTTTTACGATTTTTATGTGAAATAGAGCTCTCCCTACAGTCTCGTGCACCTTTTGCCGACCTCATCTTCCAAAAGTGCTCCGAACGTGACAGTTGTTTTACGTTTTTATGTAAAATCGAGCTGTCGCTATAGTCTCGTCCACTTTTTTGTCGACCACTTCCCCGATCGAGCCGCGATGATTGGAATGCTGCCCATGACAATCGTCCGTAACTCGGAAGTTTTCAAACTAAACTTCCTTTGATTATATATTCATTGTATATCATATATTCTTAAATATATATATATACATATTATATATGTATATAGAAAATATTATAAAATCATCATTATATAATATGTATATATGTATACATATAGAGGAATCATTATACATATGTCTATAACATGTATATATGAATATATCATAATATATTAATAATATATTTATTCTACATATATTATATAAATATAATCATGTATATATATATTGTATATAGTATATATATAAGTTTACTCCAATCTAATTGCATTGTCCTATAGTTTTCTGCTGGTCAAGGCACGTTTTCAAAAGGCAGCTCCAACTGCTGGTCTTCGCAAAGCTGGTTCTGCTCATCGTGAACTGTGCAACCACAGGCCCAATGGTGAAGGATGCAGGCACCATCAGATTTCGAATCAAGAAGTTCATTTCGGGGCTGATGCGAGCGACACAGCTCAAGGTCTTCACGGAATCAAGCAAACGTTCAAGTGACAGAACTCGGAAGAACTCCAAGAAGCTCAAAAAGGGCTCAGACCAAGTTATGTCTTGTATTTGTTCCATCACGACGAAAAGCTGAGCGCATGTGATCAATTGATTTGCACACAAGGCCGCACCCAATAGCGCACTACGATAGGATCCGCTGGTTCGATCCGTCAGCGCTAGCACGATGTGCAAAATCCCAGTCCCGACTAGGACCAAAAGAGTCAGAGCCACAAGCTTAATGTAATCCCCGCCTTTGCAAGGCATGCACTGTTCTCCAATTGGCTGTAGACCTGGAAGGCAAGAGCTGCAAGCAGGGCTGGAAGGGTCCCTGCCCTCGGCGCAGGTTTCTGGTGCTCCACCCGGGCACCTCAAACTGTTGCCAAAGCACCGCAGAACTGCCCCAGGATCACCTGAGTTGGGAGCTCATGCCATGCTATGCCACGCTATGCCAGGTCCTTTATAGTCCCCTGAAATTTCTTCACAACCTGCCTCGAACAAATACACAAACGGTCACCTAAATAGTAAAAAGAATCCAGAGTCTTGATGCCTTGATGCCTTTGATGCAAGATAAGAGTTCACTGGGAAGAAAAGGCATGAAAAAACTTTCTGCCAAGACACCCAGAGTAGAGTAAAAGCCAGGTAAGAGTGTCGGGACTCCTGAGCCTGGACAAGAGGCGCCCTCGATGCAGATTTCGCATTGACCGGCTGACAAATGCCGTCCTTCAACACAATGACAAGAGCCTGCTGATGTCGCTCCTTCAAATTCAATCCATTTCTCTTGACCCCCAGCTTGCACAGCCTTACTTGTCGTCCAAAGCTCTTCAGCTCCACAGCTGGAACAACCTGTTGCTCCAGTGGAGCTGACGTAAGTCCCTCGCTCACAAGGTGAACAAGTTGCCTGTCCAACTGCAGCTGCAAAGGTGCCAGCCTCACATTGGATACATTGGCTCTGACCAAAGCCGCTTTGATGAAAACCAACTTCGCACTCTTGACATCTATAGGTTTGCCTCCCATCCTGTGTGAAAACCTCTGAGAAACGTCCTGCGGCACAAACTTGACAGTCGACCGCTTCGGCCAAAGATGCGACTGGCAAGCCTTGAACGTCAACCAGTCCATATCCTGCAGAGCAATCGGTTTTAACTGGCATCCACTTCCCCCAAATGTCGCTTTTGGTTTTCACCCATTGACAAGCTGCATCACCCAATATCTGGAGCTTTTGATCAGCAGTGGAGTTTATTGCAGTGGTTGCCAGCATATCCAGCAACTCACCTACCTCGAGTTTCATCTTCTGCACAAACGTCCTCACTCTTGGCGCTGAGATTTGGAGACCGACGTTGGCAAGCTTCGCGATGTACACTTCCTCTCCGCCTGTTCGGAAATCTCCCTTCAACCATCCAGCTGCGCTGTGTGGTGGCAATATGAGCCTGGCATGCCTAAGGTCAAGCAATGTCTCGTCTGGTTCAAACCAGTAATATAGTATCCGCTGGTTTCGAATCGCCTTCATAACGTTGGTCCCAGTGGTCCCGTGTGTCAGCGCCATCGGAATTCCATAGGCTACTGACCACTGCATCAATACGACCATGTATCCAGGTCCATTTTGCATTACAGGGATGCATTGAGTGTAGTTATGTCGGCAAGCAGGTGCGATCCAGAAAGCAGGTAGTTGACAATTTGCTGAATATTGGCCATTCCGCTCCACTACGCCATCGACATCGCCTGTCCAGTCAAGATAATTCTTCATCTTTTCAGAGTCTGTGGGTTCCAAGGGCCAGCCGAGAAAGGATCCGTTGCAAGGCTCAAGGTCTGCCTCCGGCAGATCCCACAAAGTGTCAAAGTATTTGTAGGGCTGGTGGAAGGACATGTTGTAACTCTTGTAGTATTCCAACGCCAACCCAGCATTCGCTGCACTTTCAAGCACCGATCCTTTGATGTAAAGGCCATCACCACCCTGATAGCCCATAGAGCCTAAATCTTCGGCTACTTGAGGATTTTGAGCTAGGAAACCCTGCCAAAAAGGAAAGACCGGACTCAACCAGGTGTCCAACACAACATCAGTTCTTGAGGTTTTCACCTGGCAATCAGAGCTCTCGCACCCTGCCAAACGTGAGATTCCAGCAGTAGTGTCGAAAATGGTTTCTGGAGTCACGAGGGCATGATATCCTAACACTTCAGAAATCAGGATCTGCGCAATCTGACTGGTCACAATGGAGGACCTCCAGGCGAATATGGTCAGCCGAATTGGACTTTGCTCGTTGCTGGCATTCAAAACATACAAACGCTGTCCTTCCGGTATGCCATTGGGCAAGCACAGTTCGGCCCGGCACAAGGCAGTCAGGAATAAGATAAAAACGCCCAATCCAGGCAGACCACCCAAAAAAATCATTGACCTCGGCTTGCAGAGCACACTGGTTAGGTTTCATGCTTTGGATATTGCCAGCCTAGGGCCTGCTGTTTCAAGCCTTTGGGTCATCCTCTGAAATGCCCATCTTTCTGCAATCAATTTGGTCAGATTCTTAGTTCCTGATTCTGAGGGGTTGCATCTGGTGTTTTCCAACAAATAGATTGCAAAACGTACTCAACAAATAGATGCTGAGGGCTACACTACACAAGGCGTCGAGCACACTGAAGATGAATTGTGTAACGTCAAACGAAAGAAATATCGGAAAAACAACAGCTCAATGTACTTCAGCTCTGTCATCCTAAGGCATCCGTTGCTAGTCAATGTGCGATTTTCGCTGCTAGTCACCGTTGGTCGCTATGTTCCTGGGAGACTTTGGACTGTTGAGTTGTGTTGAACTTTCTCACCTAGAGGCACCACTGTGAGCCACACAGAGGCGGCGAAATTCTTTTGCCAGGCTAAACCTCAGCATACATGCTATATGGCATAAGATGCATAAGCTGTTGAAGAGAGCAAACCGACTCCAGGATACCATGGAGAGAATCTTCAGGATTAAACTGGCCTGTGGAGTGGGATTGCTCGGTTGATGCTTCAGAACTTTCAAGCAAACTTCCGCAAGCTTTCATGATGATCCAGTCTCAACCTTTGGAGCTGGCAGAGAAGCTCTACAGCCTTCACAGAAACCACCTGACCAAAGCTTCAGGTGGAGAGTTCTGACGGCCATTGGAACAAGGCTCTTGTGTTACAATATCACTCCAGTGAAAGAATGTTACTCTGGTGCAAACATGTCATTCCAAAAGTTTAAAGCCAATTGCATGGACTCTACAAGACAGCACCATTTGAATACAAGGGACTGGACGCTTGCACTGGTTGCACACAGGGCATGGTCTCTGGATATTTACACAAGCATTATGAATGGTGAATGACGAGCTTTCTACAGTAGATGGACGAAAAAATCAATCAAACCCTGCAGACGTCTACCAAGTAAAACCCCAGGCCCAAAATTTCAATGCTGCGGCCCCAAGTGCGCAGCCCAAAGGCAACATTGAAATTTGGGGATGCAGGGCGACAACAATACAGCAGGGGTTTGATTTCATCGTCCATCTACGGTACAACGCTTTCATTGAGAGCGCCTTCATGTGGTCCTGTTGTGTTCAACATAGTATGCGATCTTTGCTGCGTATCACAACGGTGTGGCATTGAAACCAGAAGGGTTATCATGGAAGCGCAGTGCCAAAATTCTTCCAGCACACGGCGGGCACGTTGACTGAAAGATGCTGTCAAGACACTACAGAGAAAGCCGCAGCAGCCCAGTCTCTTTGTGCTTCTCAGACCTGGGTTCAGAGATTTCCGCATTCCTGGGGAATCTGGAGGCAATACTGTGCATCCAAATTCATCCTGTTCACTTTCCACTGCTTGCCTAGCCTGCCCGCCTGCCAATCCTGCTTGTCATTTTCCACACGCACACACACAAAACACAACTCAAGCATCTCCAACTCCTGACTAGGACAAACATTTCGCTTCGCGAATTGAACATAGGCTGGAGGCTCAGCAACTGATTGAATGTATCACACTTGCATTTCCTGAATATTCTATCGTAGATGTTGTAGATGTCTGGCTACGGGCTTTCGCGTGCCGAGCCATCGAAATACTTTTTGCTGTACAGGGACTGCACCCAGCAGTCCGACTCCTGGAAGGCATCTTTGCCTTCCATCTGGCAGGCTGAAATTTGCGGCTGCGTTTTTTAATGTTTCATTGGATTTTGTCATATGATTGTCCCTTATTGACCACTTACGCCTTTGACCACTTAAAATTCTTAAACTCCATAAATCAAATCGATCCTCGCAGCCCAAAAATATGTTTCGGAACAGTGAAACTACCCTTCTCTGCCAAAGCTGGGCGCTGGTTTGTACAACGAATCTCTAGCGTGACAGGTCACAAATCAAATATGACTATCATAGCGACCGATAGAGAAACACGCCAAACGTGTTGCAAACCGCGCCTTTCTGCACCAAGCTGCGTTTTGCAGTGGTGCGAGTGTTCTCTATCATTCGTGAAACCAAAGAGAATTTCATTCTTCTTTTCGGCGCAAATGTATGATATGTATGCAATTACAGCAAGGGTTCATCAAACAAGTGATGCTCGAGACTCGAGATGCTTGAGCTCTGAATAGATGTGATGTCAGTGCTTTGAAGGCCAACTTGCCGAGGAAAATCGGGTCAGGACACGTCAGGACAAAGATGCGTGACCTGTCAACATGGTCAGCACCCAGCAGGAACCGATGGTAAGAGAAGTCCACTGCCAATCAAAAGCCGACAGCTGGGGCAAAGACCCAGATCTCTGATGCCTTGCCAAGTGTCTGGAGCCTCACGGAAAGTGCACCGCAATAGGTCTGCAAATGGATAAGAAAACAAAAGCAGCCCGATGCTTCGCTGCTCCTGTTGTAAGATCCACGAAAAATCATGCCATGTCCAAAATCTGTCCAATAGTTCCCGCTTTGTTCCCGCTTTGACCTCCCGGCAAGTCTGCAGCCAACCCAGCCCTCCATGCCTCGTAGTTGGTTCTCTCCATGAACTTCAGCAAAGCAACACTGGGTCCGTCCTGGAAAGGTGGCTCAGATTGGTTACTACTACCAAAGGTGCCTAGGCTGGGGTTTGGATGTCTACAGTTTGTAATTGTCTAGATGTTTATATATCTACAAATATATCATCCCAACAACCCTTCAACAACCAGCACTGTAGCAACATGAAGTCGCAGGCCTCTACACCGAGCATATCCCTTGTGCGCTGAAGCAGTCTTTGTGCAACCTTTCAGGGACCAAGTCCATGCTTTCGGCAGCCAAAGCACCCAAAGCACAGTCAAAAACCCTGGTACCCTGCTGAACATCAAATTGATTGCTGGTGAACACCAAAATAGCTGCGGTTTGTGGGTGTGATGTTCATCGCCATATCATGGGTTTTGACCCATGCACAATTCAGCTTTCTTTAGCTCAGGTTTCACTAGCAGCAAATGCGGGATTTAAAAAAAGAAACGCTCAAGCAGAAAGAGCACCTGCCATTCACCCTGGGAGTAGTTCTGGTAGCCCATGTTGAACACCTGACAGAGTGAGAGAGCTGTTGTGCATGTCCTTTCCACTATGTACCTTTATTTTGCCTGAAATATTCAGAGTACCCTCCGAAACACCTGACATGCTCAAGGTGAAACTGTGCGTTTTTCTGCTGGCTCATTCTGAAGGCAGCAAAAAAATCCAAGCTCCCCACATGAATAAACTCAAGGGTGTAGCGGAAGCGCATCGAGGCTATGTCTAGCGGACGATGGCAATGAATATCTTAGATTGCAACTTCATGGAGGCACTGGCAAAACCAACTTGAGTAACTTGAGATTCTTTTTTCTTAGCTGCCTTACTCATTAACATTGCAACAGTGGGGTCATTTTCTGCCTGCGTTCTCGTTGAACAGATTTACCATCTTGACCTAAGTGTCATGCGCAACGCAGTCTTGAACTGAGGCCGAGCAAAGCAACTGAGCTCGCAGACCCCGTCGGCCCACTTCTGCTCCTTCTCATTTTCCAAGAATTGTCGTACCTTTTGGAGAAAAGTCAAGTTTGACTCAAGCTGTGAGATGATCAGTCCGGTCTGCTCAGCTGATTCAATTGATATTCAGTTGATCACGTTTATGAGTTTATGATAGTTTATGGGCTTGTTAACGCTTGTTAACCATCCATTGTTGTTTATGGGTTGAATCCCTATGTTTCCGGGTCACCCAAAACTGGCCTTGAATCTATCTCGGGTTGTCCAGCGCTGAGGACCAAGAGGCTGCTCAACCTCGAAGATTTTAAGTATAGGAAATGTGGCAGAAAACTTATGTCTTTTACCTGCAATTTTTATTGGGGGGTATCCTGAAAAAAAGAACCCAAAAAAACCGTTTCTGGGACAGTACTTTCTGCCATCATCACTGCGTGGATAGAGCACCACCTAGAGCTCCAGGCTGTAAGGCCCAAGTAGTCAAGGTCTATGACGTACAAATCCATGGGGACAACGGACCTGGACAGCAGTCATCCATAGCTAACACCGTAAGGTGTGTTGTACCAAAAGCAGACTGCTTAATCTGACATCATCAACACGTGATCAACACAAATCACTGTCACTCGTGTCACTGTCACTCGTGTCTTGGGCTTGTGCCCAGTGATGATGACTCGATCAATCAATCGGCATTTCGTCGCCATTGGAGTGGAGCAAATTGACACCACAGATTCTGCAACCTGAAGTGGCAAGCAACACCATCAGGCGTGCGGCATTTGAGGATGTGGTTGTTGATCACTCGAGCACTTCATATTCAAAGCTGCTGGAATATACTTTTACTTTTAACATCCCTCAATGTGCAGCTATGCGGTCCAGAAGTTTGAGGTCAAAGCCAGCACACTGACACCATAGATTTGTGTGGCACGCTCCACAGTCTCAGCGATGCTGACCTAACACAAATGGAAACGCGGTGTCACCCTTTCGTATAGAGGACGTGTGATATGACTCATATGACAATGGCATTCGTGACTGAAGTTGTGAAACAGCATCCAGTAAGCTTCTTGCATTTGGCGATAGGTAGGACGCATCGATCTTGAACTCGCTGCCAACTGCCCCTGCAAATTGCACTTCTTGCTACTGCATCTGTCACGTTCTCATTACAATCTCGAGACCTCAATACCATGCAGCAAACTCAAAAAGCAGGAAGGCTCTGCCTTCAATGGCCCAGCCATAATGGAGGCCGCTGCTGAGGTTGACCCTGACAAGCATGCCATTCTGCCAGAATTTCTGCCAGATTCTTTCAGTCCCAGTATTCCCCGTATTCCCCGTAGTCTCTTACCACCTTGACTTTTCTCTCATATACATGTGACATCATGTGACTGATCTCCGCCCGCCTGCAGTCCTTTCCAAGCCGTTGTTGTAGGCCCGGATGACCTATATAAATTTAATCAAATTTATATAAACATCACAGTGCAAAGCCCGGCTCAAAAGTCTCAAAGTTTCTGAACTCACGAGATTCGACCTCTGTATGCTGCCAGCACCGGTGTTCGGTGAATGGCTCCCAATATCCTGGAATCGCGCACTTGGCAAATGCCGTTGCCGTTTCGCTTTCACAGAACTGCTATGCCACCCTTTTTTGCCCCGATCTTTTCGACTGTGCTGGTCTTCTCCTTGTGAACGCCAGGATGGACATGTCAGCAAGCTTTGATACCTGAACAACCAAAGCATTCCAAAAGCTGATCACACTGGTGGCATTCCAATCATCCAAGCACCAACCTTGTCGATGTCACCCATTCGCCAAATCATCAAGAAAGTGTCACCTCACACTTTCTTGAGCAGCTTAAGCATGTAAATCAGGCTGGCATGCTGAGGTTGTTTCACAGCCGATTTTCAAACAGCATTTCAAAGGCTGGCACCGTTGTTCTTGTTGGCTGCTCCGTGAAACTCATCTACCACTCCGTGGACGATCTGCAATCAGGTCAATTGCAGATTTGGTCAACTTTAGCACAGCTCAACACGTCTGAACACATGCTTTCATCATCTTTCATCATCTTTCATCAGTCCCTGGCTGCGCTACGAAACGTCTGGTTGAACAGCGAAGCACAAGACATCTGCCTCTGCGATCTGATTCACGAAGGTCATGACCTTTGCCTGGAGCACCTGGCCACGTTGCAACTAAAAGGGAATTCCACAACGCGTTGGCATGTTTTGGCATGTTGCCATTCGAAAACTCATTGTCTCAATCAAGTTCAATTCGAACAATCAACAATCTCCTATATATCATTATATTATGTATATATATATCATATCCAATTAGCAGGTCCAATCATTTATGGATTCTAACAATTTAAACCAACCAATTCACCTGTTACCTGGCAAAAAAAGAGCTGCACCTCAGTAGCTGTGCTGAAGTCTCGAATGCGCGTCGCACCAATGATGCACTCCACACGGGTGCCTTCCACCATGGCCTGGCCATCAGCGGTTCTCGGACAGCATGACTCATCATGACTCAGCATGACTCAGCATGACTCAGCATGACTCAGCATGACTCAGCATGACTCAGCATGACTCAGCATGACACTCAGATCCTCAAAACAAACGGCTCCGGGCATTGCTGGGCATTGCTGGGCATAGTGCGATTGAAGAAAGCCTCCTTTTTACGAAAACATTGTCCCTTTTCAGAAGGCAAACCAGATTCAAAGCTTGCCAAGGCACATCAACGCAAGCGCTGTCGACGCCATGCATGTTGTGCTCAATGATGTTCGCACCAGCCTGGTGCGAATTGAGAAAACAGGCTGGCTACATCTCTGGGTGCTTTGAAAACTGAGGCCTCCCCGAAGCCAAGGGCTAACAGAGACCCAAGTTTAATAATGGTCTTCTCCAGAATCACCTGGGTCAATCCGGGCGAATGCCGCCAACGTTGGGCGTTCATCGACATGGATTAGTACGTTGATGAGACTCACAACGGTCGTGAATCGGATCCGTCGGATCCGTCTGGGAGCAGCACTGTCTCCATGATTTCTGTGTTGTCTTTCTTTGATGAACATCCAGTCCATTCCATCACGACCTTCAGCTATGGCGCTGTATCAGGTGGTGATTTTTTTTCTCCTGTCTTGAATCCAGCATGAAACTATGAAACTCAGTGCAAAAGGACAAGCAAACCACTCTGGCCTGAAGACGTGACTTTTCCTGTGCGCACAAGAATCCAATCCGCACCGTACATGGCTGTCTTGGAAAGTTCCGAAGCTGTCCTGCTTTGCAGCTTTAGCCCGGTTGATCTCTTCAACCTTGAACTCCTGAGTATTGAAGCACTTTGCGAGTCGCGGAAATCTACAGCTGGGCAAAATTGAGCACCAAAAGAAGAGGTGGAATCTGGGCCTCATCAGCAACTTTCATTGCTTGCAATGGATTGTTGCGGATAGTTTCGACCTGCACAAGAAGCAGCTATCACAGCTGTCCTTTTCTGGAAGGTCCTGATGCAATCGCAAAGCAGTCGCAAAGAAGATAAATCAAACAACTCCACCTTCGCAATCATGTTCTCGACAGGGTACAAGACCAAGCGGTTTGCATCGTTGGCGAAGCCGATTGAAGCTAGAACTGGGTCAGGCGGAATTTCAAAACATCAAGCCAGCTACAAACTACGCAAAAAGGGCTACACGCAAGCAACTTGAGATCCTGACGCAGCATAATGCATACGAAGAGCACCGTCAAAAGATTGAACCTTTGTGCAGTTCAGGATTTGAAAAGACACACGAATTCAAAAGCCTCCAGGGGGCAAAACTCTTCAAGGTGCTTTCTATTCATGATGCATTGAAAGACTAAGCTCTGAGGACTGAACAAGGATTCCTGTTTGACAAAAGGCCGAAGGTCGAAATAGAACGCGAAATGCAACTCCTCCGATGCGGATGCCACAAAGTGCA